CCCTCGCACAGGACAATATTATTGACAATAATCTCGACAAGTGGGAGGGGAAATAATAATCATTTGAATAAATATTATTGTTTGGGCTAATGACCGTTAATTAAAATTGTTTCAGCTACCCGAAAGTTGTCGAATTACGTGAATATGCCATTGAATTTGATAAAAAAAAAAAAACCAAAAAATACAAATCATAAAGAAAAAAAAACAACCATCGAGTGCATACACTAACAGAATATTATTACAATTAATGGACAGTTTCACAAAAATCGTTATTCAATGGTAGGTACTCGGCACTTTTAATTTATTTTCGACATTTTAAGCGACGCGTATAGGTACCACTAATGAATCGATTAAAATTAATTGACTATTTCCAATTTTTCAATATTAATGTTTACAATAAATAATATTATTGATGACCACACGTGGTCAGTACACACTTTCCATCAAACAGTTTATATTGTTACTATAAGCACTCAAAATGATTAAAACCGGATTTGGTAAAATATACCATTAGTATCATTTTAACATTTTGGATAAACTGAGCATCATAAAAAAAATTTAAAAAAAGAAGAAATGTTAAACTAAATCCCGTTCTCAAAACTGAATTCTGTATACGATAAAAATCAAATCGATACCCCATTTTTGTTTTCCCAAGAAATACCACGAGAATTTTGACTGGAATATCCCAAACATTTTTGTTTTTTAAAGTAAACAGTTTACGATATTTTTGTTATAATTTTCATATAAAAACCGTTTTTAAATTGAAAATCAGTATCCAAAGTTCAAAAGAGTATCAGCTTTCCGGCTCGTGTCCTCTGGCACACAAACGCTTTCCAATTACCGATTCGTCGATCCCTGGTACAACAAGTTCAGTCTAGAAACTCAAAAGCTGCTGAGCGATCGCCTCAATGTCCGGTCTGTCTCACTGGAACTACCGTCGATAGTTCCAGAATTCTGACTTAACGTCACGTGTCATCTCACAATGACAATTTCAGACCTGATGACTGGCTATTGTGTCTAATGTGGCATCAGTTTGTCTTACTCACTAGAACAATCAAGATGACCGGCTTTGAGGAGGGGGGGGAGTGATTTGGGTAACATGATTCCCGTCGGTAGCGATACGGCGGTGTTCACCTTTCGAATATCGACGCAATCTACCGGTCTTAAGCTAACAGGTTAGCTTCAGCAAAAACCTACGTATGAGGGCCATTACCGGTCTACTTTAAGCGATTTTTTTAGAGCGAATAACCGAGAAAATTGGCCGAAAACCACTTCATAAAGGGTACTCTAAAGGATTCTACTGTACGATTGTACTTCTGACACACAAACGCTGACTATAACAACCGGCTTGTGGTACAATAGTTAAGTTCTCGACCGTAAAAATAACACAACATTCATTAGGAAAATCTAAAATCGATACGAAGAGTTCTGAAGATTCCCCGCCGGGAACTGTAGCGCGAGAATAAAAGTTCGGCGAAATCGATATGGGTGCAGTCCTAATATTATGAAGGGGATGGTACAACAGTTTCGCCGTCATAATTTATCATCGTTTTACAACACCTGTAGAGTTTAAGTAGTTAGGTGGTTAATATAATAATATTCGGCCGTTTACCAAGAAAAAAAAAACGGTAGATCCGTTGTCGTCGGAGTTTCGGAGTCGTTCGTCGTCTATACGCGTTAGGCATTTTTTTTTTTTTTTTTTTTAATATTTACATTAATCTTCGTTATTGACATCAGTCGCCGGGTCGTATAAAATAATATTCCATATTTCTTAATAATATTATATGTCTATTAATTATTATTAACATTATGCGACGACGCGTTTTTTTTTTTCATGTCATATTCACGGTTATGGATCAGTTTTAGTAGTAGCGGTAAAGAGGTACCGTTTCGTTTTTATTTTCTTCTTTTTCTCCTTTAATAGCTTAGTGGGCCATAAAGTCCCATCACTGTCGCCATATCATTCCATCTGTTCTTGGCATATGTCTCCTCAATTTGTATATTTTCGTTGACCATTTCTAAATCCTTTTGCCACTACATCTTTCCATCGTCATTCCGTTTCCTGATTTTCTTTGTGTATCCATTTTCTCAATCCAAATCCGAGGCTTGTTTTTCGGCAATTTCTTAACCCTTAGATATTTTTATACTAGATGGAGTGTTGGCCCATCACAGAAACCCCCAACCTGGAGGAATAGATCCTCCCCGCCAATTAAGGCCAGTTTAGGCCAGTTAAGGCTATTGCAGCTTTCCCAACCCCGAAAGGTATTTATGTATCTAGGTATATTTGTATCTTTTACCTAATCTTTAGATGAATGAGAACTTTCAGTACAGATAGTATTTAATTTATATAGTAAATAAATATATAAATAAAATATGTATACATAAAAATAAAATTAATTAATTAATTAATGAATGCGTCGCCTGGAGTGTTATGATAAGTTTACTATACGATCGGTTTCGAATTAAAAATTCATCATCAGGTACACCACAGTCAAAATATAAAACGCGTAAATTCGTTTATTTATTTTATTTTTATTTATATATTTATTTACGAGTATTAACCATTTTAATAATTTTGTTTTTACTTTATTATTTTATTATTTAATTACATCAATCGCACGACCTTTGCGAATTATAGACTTGTTCTGAATCTAGTGCACTCTTGCCACTTTTATCACGTAGTTTCATGACAGGTAATGAATTAAACATATAAACATTTATACATTTTCAATCTACATAAATAGCTCTTGATTAATTTTCTTCAACGCGATAATTACATTGGGGTGTATTATTTAGCTTCTTCTAGCTGTTATCTCGTATCTTTATCGAGATGTTTTAAAATTGATAGTTACACCACAATACTGTTCATCGGGTCTTTCGTTTCGAGCCCGGCGAGATAGGGGCAATTATCAATTCTACCCGGGTGAAACATAACATCAAACAAAAAAAAAAAAAATAAAATACCATCTAGATATATTACAATTTGAATTTAATTTTGGTACGAACTTAATGCCGACGAATGCTGACAACCCTGGACCACGATAGATTTGAGAGTCGTGTATCGTAAATAATTGGTGAAAACTGTGGAGATTAGAACTAACCGTAAAAACATACACCTGTATGCTATACAAGATAATAGTTCGACCGGGAAATTTCGAAAAACAAACTTTTTTTTTTTCTTTATTTCACCGTGCTGTACGCGTTTTTATAAGTACCTGCTATATGTACTTATAGATGATTATAATTTATTTATGTACGCGCAGAAACGTACCTTTTATAATACTAATAAATTACAATAGAACTACACTTCTTATAGTCGTCTCTTGAAAATGCGCATTTCGCATTTCTAAAAAAAAAAAAAAAAAAACTGAAGAAGCGGGAAATTGTAAGTACTACGCAATATTTGTTCACATAAAAATGCACGTAAACGTATGAACAAAAAAATAAGGACATTATTTGTTATGAAGAAATTTGTTTATTCATCAATTTTTAGATTCTAAGCGTAGCGATTCTTATAGTGATTTGTCAACACCGATAATGTTTGATTTGGTTTTTCTACCAGAAATCTTGCATGTCCATACAAGTGTATTTATCGTATTTCACTTTTAAAACAACATTTTTGTTTGCTGCAACTTTGTCTTTTTGTTATAGTGTATACAATCCGAACAAAACATTATTAATTGTGATTTGGTTTTATGTGTCAGCATTCGGCAATAACGGAATTCGATCTGCAAGTATAATAATGCATTATGTTAAAAATATACGTTGATATATAGTTAGTTAACCTCGCATTATTCGTGTATAATGAAAATTGTACATTGTATCACGTGCTTTGGGGGACGACCGACGTTGGTAGACCGGTATAGTAGGTACCGGTCGGTTATTTTTTTTATATGATTTGACGACAGACCGAATAAATATAACATCAAGGTGAAAACTGGGAATAAAATAGTTATGCACTTAAAATATTATTATAATTTATCCATATTTCCGGATGAACACTATACGATTATCAGCCACACTATGGGTTAGGTTTTGAAAATAAAAAATAAATAAAAATTGTTGGAAAATTAACAAAGATAATGATACTGTCTGTACAAATACTGCAGCACGGAAACACGTGTTGTTTTGTTTTTAGTTGTAGATAAGTGTAATAGTGTTTTCCATCTGATTACACGTGTATACACTATAATATTCAGTCAGGGTTAGTGGTACGGCACCTTGCGATTATTTCAAATATGATAATATAAATTGGAACATAAAATTGCCGTATTATCGTAATGCGTCGTTAATTTGATAATAATAAAGGTCACCATACAAAATACGTATGAAATATAATCTACACCGTCACACCGTCAAAACCAATAATTTCGTTGGTTTACACACGTATAGATAAGATTACACTACACCATCATGGCTGCAGTGGGGTAGTAATATTGATACAGATCCTCCACTGATGTCGCTTAAAACGAAAAAAAAAACACCATCATATGGCGTTATCTTGTATTTACTAGACACAAGTGATATCAGGTGAATGTGATAGAATGACCGGTCACCACAAAAATATTCCCGGCGGAAAGATCTCTTGAAAAAAAAAATAAAAATATATCTCTAGAATTAATACTATTATTATTTTTCTATTCTTTATTGGATTATATAAATGTGAATATTTTTTAATTGTATATATATATATATATATATAAATGTTTATATTTTTGAGATGTTACATATAATAATCTATATATTTTATATAGTATTTATTAGTAACATATTCCATAAAAAAATTCAATTAAATAATCTCACAGATAAAATTATTATCTATATAGTCACAGTATTACACATTATCATAATTTAATTAGATAGGTATACACAATCATTATAAGAAATATCTCAAAAAATATACACAAATATTTACGCACAAAATATTAACATTTTTTTTTATTCAATAAAAAAATACATTGAAAAAATAAAAAACAATAATAATATTAATTCTAAAGATTTGCCTTAAGAGATATTTTGTCGCATGTCACGGAACTTAAAACTATGTGCAGCACCTAGTACATATAGTACATATAGTTACTAATGTAGTGGTGTGCAGTTCATAAGGAGTACATTACTTCAATATAATAATAGTATTAGCATATTATTATGTTAAGTGTGTTATGCATTCCACCCGACGGCAGTTTATTTGAAAATGTATTTGAAATTCTCAACAAGTTTTCCGATTTGTTCACGCAGTACACCTCGGAAAACGCGGAATATCCACCAGGTGCGATGGCATTTTAATTGAAGTGTTTCCGAAAATTGTCAACAGTCAAACACTTTTTCGGTTATTAAAAAGAGAAATACACGATTGCGTATGTTCGCTATCGGTAATACCTTTTTAAGCTACACGATTGCGTACGAAATTTTAAGCGCTGTTGCCAATTTTCATACCGGTATGTACCACACGAGTGAAACAGAAATAATTTGTACGAATTCGGATTCGTACGCAGTCGTGTTGATTTTACTTTTTTTAAGTATTCTTTAAACCGTCGAAATACATACGCAATCCTGTTGTCAAAAAGGACAAAAGTACATAATCGTGTTCTACCCATTAAAAACGTATTGAATTTTTAACACGCAGTAGAATATTCTAAATTGATATATTATTTCTTTAAATAAAAGTAATTGATTTATATATTGTATATTGATTGGTATTTGGTGCAAATCTAGGTAATTAAATTAATATTTAAATTTTTCACTCGAGTAGGTAGGTAGAAAAGTATATGTGCCGCGCAATAGCACATTCCTTAAATTTTAGGTATTGGACCAAGAGACATTTTCAATGGGTATATTTTTTACTAGAGATATTTTGTATTCGAGATAATTTATCAGGGATATTTTATCCTAGAACCATATGTCGTAGTAGCCGGTAGTAAAAGAGTGTACACAAGTGCAGTCAGATTCGTTTTCTCTTTTTACGTAGCATGTGACGTTTTTGTTCCTTCACATGTCTTGCTATGAAATAGTACCTTCGTCAATTCTTTTATTTATGTATTTTTCCTCATACGCCAGTCACTCATAAAAACATTTTTATTATAAACTCGCGTTATTTTTAGATTCTGAGTGGAGCGATGAAGCTTATAGTTTTACACAAATATTCTGGTGTTCAGAAGTTGTAGCACCTTTTCTGAAAGGAAATCGACATGGGGAGGTGCTTTAAGGCGGTCATTTTTCGATTTTCCCAAGAGTTTTCCCTGCAATTGTAAAATCCGGGATAAAACATGGGACATTTGGGAAAAACTAAGGAAAACTGGGAAAATCGGTACAACATTAAACAATTATTATTAAAGAAAATATGTAAAGCCTGTTTATATATAATATGTATATATAATATATACATATTGTTGACAAAGCATCACGATCAACTGAATTCCACTCAGAATCGTTTTTTCGTAAGCAATAGTTTATTTCTGATTAAAGCTATATATCGAATTATCTAAAACAGCGGCTGCATCCATCCCCATTATCCTAGGACGTCTTATTTCATTAATTAAACTGCATTTTGTATGCCATTTTTTAGTACCTATACCTAATAAGCGTCATCGCTGTTATTATTATAATATATTCGCTTAATTTATTATTAGGTATAATGAAAACGATTTTATACTTTGTTCACTGATTTTTTACAATAATAGAAACTTCGAGACATCCCATATTATATTTTTCCACCTATAAAAAAAACCCACAAATCGAATGGTGTACAAAATACAAATATTTTTATATTGGCATAAATCTCAGATACATAAACGTACAAACTTATTTTTCACGTGCGTTTGATCCATTCGTAGTTCAAATATATTGTATACTTATATATATATTATACTTTTTAGTGTATATAATGGATAATATAGATGTTATGAGCAAAGCCAATAAAATAAGTACCTACGTATTTTTTCGTTATTCTAGTACATAAAATCGGATAATAAGACCGCTATTTTTTAGAAAGAAACATTTTTTTTTTCTATGCCTTTATTATTTTTTCGTTATTCGTGTATTTATCTGTATCCATTCCATTATTTTTTGTGTTCGATCCATTCAATATTGTTGATTTATATCCTACAGTTGGTATGTATACCTATTGCCTGATTTATTGTACGTTGCCAGCCAGGCATCGTACAGTTTTCCTCAATCGAATTAACTAATAAATATAAAACCCACACTTCTGGCAGTAATAAAAACATTACTACGTTATAGTAAAATATTAATACATTTATTTTTCGTTATGGAAGTAATAATGTTAGTAACACAAATTCTAATTGTATGGTGGATTTGTAGTTGGGCGTGTGGTATAATCAGACTGGAGATGATCAGAATTAGTTAATACAAATAATACGTAATCTTGGAGTAAGGGCAGGAAAATAAGGAGAGATTATTTTACACACAAAGGAAAATACACGACTAATACCACTCGGCTCAGAATCGTTCATTCGTGTGCAATCTCGTTGCGTACAGTATATAAACTAAAAAAAACTTGTAGGTATATCCTAACTTCTCAACTACTTTTCTACAACAATACTTAATCCATAAGCCGTATCAACTTTTTGCTTTTGTTTCCACTTTCCTAACCGATTTAAACATAGACTGCTTTTGACGTACTTTATCTTGTACAACATATTTGAGTGAGATAATAATAGTAAAGGTTCTAATAATAAAATAACAGTAATAAAATACGTAGTTAAAACAATTATTTAGTATATGGTTTGGTTTGTGTGCATAAACGAAAAGAAAATGACGAATTAAAAAGAAATAATAATTATAACAAAAGGTGGGCGTCACATCGTATAATTATTATCAATGCACCGACTTTGATAACAATTTCGGACGAAAAACCAAAAAGGGAAAAGAACGCTAACAATATTATTATGTCGACGCATTTTCTGAAACCTCTCGGTTCCGTCGAAAGTTCATCCGTCACTATATATTAGGGAAACGTACTGTATGTACTAGAGCTCACTTCCACCAATTCTCTAGGGATCGGAATTCGAAATCATGTGGACGTAAGTTACACCGTTTAACGCAAAAAAAAAACATTGTGTAAAGCATGGTTAACCAACTGATAGTTTCTACCGTGACAGTTGTCATCTCATGAACTACCGTCGTGGGAACAGTACGATAGTGCCTATTTAACTGTCATGAAAGCAACCGTCAAGTTATCGTGCGTACACGATAGTCAATAGTTGCTATTATGAGACTTCGAGAGCGATAGCGACTGCCACTTTGCGAACACATACTATCGTTCTGTTTGGCTGTCGTGTCGCAGACGTTGAATAATTGACATTTTTTTTTTTATCAAATGTGAAACAAGAAATATAAAAAACGCAGAGACGTAGAATAATATTTGGTGTAAAACGAAGTTTTTAGTTGCTGATAGCACAAATTTAATGACAACATTACAATACCACACTAAAAATACTCCGGCTACCCATTACCCAGTCATAACAACAAATATTGGACATATTGTTTTACTTTTATGTGTACTATGGTTTTTACTTTGTCGTTTTTTAACATAGACACCTAATGTAATATTATATTAATATCGAATCGAAAAATCGACGTAATAAGTGGTAAATAACTGTTTATATTTTTAACTGTCGCGCAATGATCAGTAACTGTCGAGTTTAAAAAAAAAAAAAACTTCCCACGCTACAAACGCAAGAAACAATTATACATTCGTTCGAACAAAAATATAAAAATGAAGAATAATACAACGAAAAGTATTATTTTATTATTGTATTAGATCACGATAATTTATTACACATATTATAAACGTGAGCTCCGGCGATATTTTCGTATTATACTTTTGGCATATTTAAGCATAGTCCACGCGAAAGACCTTTTGCTTATTATGTTTTATTTCGTTTTTTATTTATTTATTTATTTTTTTTTTCTGTTATTAAATTAAGGGTAATGGATGGGTCGGTAAGGGAAAACGTGATTTCAGCAACACCTGAACCAAAAAGTCTGGCCGCGGCTGTGTGCGGTCACGCACCGCGATTCTTGGTTTCCCGGCTGCTCCGATGTCGCGGAGTAATCCAAAGAAAAATGAAAAAGAAAAAAAAATATGATAATTTCTCGTTTGCTATTTTTATTCGCATTTTTATGTTTAATAAATTTTTTTTTTTTCAATTTTTTACAGGCGCCTAATGTAAATCGGCCCTAAAATAACGTTAATACTCCACGACCTTAATAATATTACTATTGCTATTACTACTACTACTACTACTACTAATAATAATAATAATAATTAATAATAATTAATAATTAATAATAATAAAAATAATAATTAATAATAATATTATATACAATATTACGACAGTATAAGATTCGATAAAGAAGTACGGGGAGAGACGGCGGCGGCGACGACTGCGACGTATCGCTCGGTTTTCGCCGTCGTCGCGCACTACGCCGATCGTGTATGAGCATAATAACAATGTTACAGCAATAATTATTATATTATATTATTCACCAATCACAAAACGTATTTTAAAAAAAAAAATAATAATAATAATAAACCGAAAGGCTGACATCGATCGTGCGGTACGGTACCGCGTACTGTTATATTTGTGCGCCGCGGTCTCCTCGCGAAACAATACGCGAAAAATCGATCGGGTCGAGAGTGTGGACGGTCCGCGCCGCCCTCCGGTCGCAGTACAAAAAACCATCGTGTTAATTAAATTTAGCGACAAATAATTATTACCGTTACGCGTGTATATAAGGTGATGTGAGTACAGAAGAAAATACATTTAAACAAAAAAAAAAAAAAAAAAATGATATGCCTACACAAACTCAATGTAATATTATAAATATTATGCAGTTTAATAAAATAATAATAATACAAATAATAATAATAATAATAATAAAAATAATAAAAAATTATTTATTTATTTATAAATATTAGACTGTATTATCCTAATTAAGTATATAATAAAGTCACTGGGTAAAAAAAAGAAAAAAAAAAAGATATTTATATTTATATACATACCTATGTATTATATGTATGTATACAGTGTACAGTATAATATCAATTACATTATATACGCGATATATATATATATTATATCTATATTATAATAATATATTCGTTTTATTATGTATATGTAATAATATGTTATATTATTAATATTACATATTATTACATATCGACACAGACTAACATAATGTATTTGTATTATACAACGCACGATACGCACATGCGCGCGTGCGTGTGTGCGCGCGTGTGTGTGTGTGTGTGGGGGGGGATAAGTGCGATAATATTTTTGGACGGTCAAATATTATACAAATATTGTAATATATCATTATAACGTAATGCTTATGTCACAAAAGAATATGCTGAGCAAATATTATTTATATTTTTATTGGACGGGGGGAGGGGAGGGAGGGGGNGGGGGGGGGGGGGGGGGGGGGGGTAGGGCACGCACTTCGGGCGTCGTCGCGTTCGTTCGGGCTCGCCCGGTTTTCGGTCTCGATCTGCTGATGACCTCTTATTCGCCTGGGACGAGGGCTGCGTGTGGGACAGGGGTAGGGGAGGGCAGGGGCTTTTCTAAGACTGTTGTCGACGACCGTTGCGGGGCCTTATCCGCGCTTGAACTTGAGCACGGCCATACTGATGGACAAGAATAACACTATCCACGATATGGTGGACACGAAGCCCAGGTACACGTCGGGTTCCAGGAGGTTCCAGCCCCGAGTCAGTATGCTCCGCAGCGAGGTGGTGGCCATGGTCAGCGGCAGGCAGTAGCTCACGTACCGCAACAGTATGGGCATGCCCTCCACCGGCCAGATAACACCTGCGGATAATAAAACGTACATCATAGATTATTTTGTTTTTTTGGATTTTATTTACATTGACGAATGATGCCCGATTAATATACGGGTTAAATACAACATAACATTATTATATTCTGCAACAGTTTGGTTTAACAGAAACGAAACGAGGCAGGCGGAATATGGGAGGCGTTAGTTAGAAAGGTGCGGGATGTGAAAAATAACAGTGGATACGAGTGACATGGAAAAACTCTGAAATTTACTCCGAGAAATAAGGGAGAGAAATCAGTTTGATTAGAAAGGATTTCAGTTATAGACTGATATATATAATTACATAATAAACTATGACACACCGGATTGGGTATTCGGGTTCGCCGTTTTAAAGGAATGTCAGCGTGAGATTTTTTTTCACGTGAATACTTTATGTCGAAAAATCGATATACTTATCTCGAAACGAGTTCATGATATTATTCATAGCGTAATATAAATTAAATAACACTACTTTATCAACCGGGAAAGACGTTGTGCCTATCGATTTATTTAAATAAAATGTATAAAAAAAAATTAACGACTATTTTTAATTGTTCTGAACAAAATTGTCACTTTTTATTTAACCTTGTAATTTATCGTCCCATATAAGTAAATATACATACCCGGTGTATGATGTGGGATGCGAAATTGGGACTTGCGTCAAGTAAAAGTTTATAACGAGGGTAGTCAACCTCGAATAGTCGGAACGAAAGCGAAAAATAAAATACGAGTAAATTGAACATTTCAATATGTTATATTCTAGATAATATTATGTTGATGTCTTCAAATTTCATTACGACTAAAAATTGCAAGATCAATTTGAAAGGTAATTATTTTTTATTTTACTTGAACATATTTTTGAACAAATTTCATATTTACACGGTAAAAACGTATGATGAATAACCAGGATCGTTTTTAAGTATACATAGTAAATATATTTATGTAATTAAAATAGGATATTTTTGGGTCGATACGTTTTAAATTTCAACGTTAAAATTCTTTCAAATATTTCGTTGAAATTGCCTATACGCAACCTTTTAAATATTGATAGTGACCTCTTAGATGTAAACTATAATAAGTACCGAATACGAAAAGATAATTAGCATAAAGGCGTAGTGAAAGGTGTGATTGTTATCAACACTTACTCGCATAAATAATCTTATTTATGGTATTTCAAAAATTTGCACGAAAAGAAACATTTTTTTTTAAATATTGCGCGCTGTCATAAAGTTTAAGGTGAATTTAAAATCGACTCAAATATACAGTTGGAATTTGTATAAGTTATTTGACTTGATTTTTCAAAATAATTCAATCGCTTTTATTTACTTTAAAAACATATCTGACGAGAATACGCTCGCCGTTAATAGCTATATATATATATATATAGGTTTATTATGCTGAAACCCCGACCGAAAAGCGCTTACTGAATGGTTTTTTCGTAACAATATATTACTATGAAACTAGACGATAGTTCTCCCACTATAAGACTTCGCTCGCGTAATTTTTGTTCCGTTGACTAGTTGTTTGGCATCCGGTGCCCCGTGTCGATTCGATAACAAAAGTATTATCATTTTTATTAAATATTGTACTCGTAATACGGCGGTGGTCCAATGCATTTGCGTAACTATGATTTGACGCGATTTGGATCGCGTGTGTTCCGCATGAGCAAATACGTGAGGATGTTTTCATAAATTATACCCGAAAACGAGGTCCTCGCCCGAAACGACGGATTTCCCCGGTCGGTAAATACAGAAGGTTAAATTGTGTGTCGTGCGCGCGGACAACTCGCTTAGTACAGTGATTTATTCAGCATTACTTATACTCAAGGCCGTAGAAAGGGGAGAAAGGGTGAGCGGTGTCTACGCCCCAGGTACAATACCTAGGAGGGTTCAAAAACACCCCTCAAAAAGCCTATAGTTATCAGGTTAAAATTAAAGTAATAAACAATGCATTTTAAATTTAGGGAACCCACTAATAGTGAGATGTGAAATAATTAAAACACTCATTTAATTGTATGGTTTGTAAAAATCTTTCAGCTTTGAGTTTTCATTATAAATTAAAAGTTTTCATAAGGACGTATTTTAATGGTTCACGCCGGGTGTAATATTAAGAGGGACGGAACACGTAACTCAAAAACAATTTGATATTATACTATATTATACTATATAGGAAACACCAGTTACGAAATTGTACACATTAATAAACGCTGATACTGCGGCAATTTGAAAAAAAAAAACAAAAAACAAAAACCGAATTGACCCCAAATGTTTGTGGCTGATAAAACAATCACTCTGTATATTATGTTATTGTATATTAAATGTACAATTCGTCGGATTATGCGCTTATAATATTAAAACAATGAAAGCGGTACGGAAACGTTTAGGTAGGTACATTGAATATTATTATTATTATTATTGTGTTACGATTGTGCAATATTATCTATTGAATTCAGACACACCGTTAATTTGAATATATCTACCTTGGTAAAGGTACCGAAACGGATATTGTTTTCGCGCCAAGATAATATTATTATAATATCGTGTTCGGTGGTCGTTCGGTGTTATTATTGCTAATTAATACGGTGAATTTCGATCTGATAGTTCTATTGATTCATTAATAATTCCGTTTAAAAAGGTTTCGAGTATCAACATAGTGTATTCGCGGATACTTCAAATCCAGGTGTTCTGCAACCTCCCCTTTCCCCCAGTAAAAAGACACACAATGGGTTATTACTAATTTAGAATTGATTTTTTTTTTTTTCACAAATCTATCTAGATAACTTATTATGTAACTGAATCCTTATGTTCTCCGACTTTTGTCGAAGTCAGTTGCTTGTCACTGATACTGATTTCACCGTGTCGTACAATTCACCGTTGTTTCATCGATGGTAGGGCTACAATCTACACATTACTCATCCCATTTTATTCTCGAAAGATCTCAATCTTAACCATGTCTGTTTTGCTGTTATCCTAGTCTCCGAACCGTCGCAACCATAAGTTACAGTTGGTCTTAAAAATTTTAATAGCGTTAATAAATACTATTGTATTTTACTGTTACGCTTTTGTCTTTCTGGAGATTGTGAAACGTAGTTACAACGGGTAAAACTCTCAGAAAGTATATACCGTAGATAAACGTTCACGATTGTTCTGCTGTATAATATACTATTCGCAGCAGTACGCAATAATATTAAAATATTAATTCGTAATCCTATTTCGGTTTCTGTTTTTTTTTCTTAAAATCCGAATTATCTGATAGTTATAATATATTCACGTAGGCATATTAATCTGTCGAAATAAAATTTGCGTGTCGTTCATATTATTATCATTGCGTAGGTGTTACAATAATCGTACCACGTATTACTACCACTGCTATGGAAGTTTATTCAAATATAATATACTTGACGGTCGCAACTGAAACACGAATAATATATTAATATTAGTTTCTGTTCGAGGTGGTCGGGGGAATGTTTAATAAAATATACATGTGGTAAGCACCTATGTCGAACAAGTAATTGACATTGTGGAATTGTATCGGGTCTAATGTATTATTGTTATGAGGTTTGAGTATAGTATAATATATAGATTATATGTGTATGAAAACGCGTTGATATGTCGACTGATGACGGTTGGTCCGTAATCGGTATAACAATAGTACCTATTAGGTATACACGGAAAAAGTAAAATAATATCGTAAAAGACCGTTTTTCAGTCACAAAATTTGTTTTCTCGGCCTGTCTCGTAATATAGCGACAAAGGCGTTTCGCACTTTCACATCCACACAAGCCATAGTTTATGTGCCCTAACTTAACAAGAGAGCCGTAATTATAAAACATAGAGATTAATCCTACTTGTAAAAAATATTTCTCTTTTAAATTAAAAATAAAACTCTATTCAAACTGGAACGTTTTACGACGCGTGAGATTTTTTCCGGTGAAGTCATTTCTGTCCGTAAAAATGGTTTTATCTATTCCCCCTAAATGGGTGTTGGGCAATAAGTTAATGGGAAATTCTTATCTTTAAGGTGATCAAAAAAGTTCTAAATAAATGTTTTCACAATTCACAAAATTTGGAAATCCGACTTTGACAGCCTTAAACATAATATTATTACGGGGCTATTTTATCTTATAATATATAGTACAAGAATAAAAAGTTTTAACTTATACGCTTTAAAAAAAAACAAATACAAATAACCCATACATATATTACTATACCTATACATTTTTTTTTCTCTAGTGCGAACCCACTTTAACTTACAATATTTATAGTATACACTTCTCTCTCTCTCTCTATATATATATATATATATACGAAATAATAGTACATACATACAGAAACTATATAAGACTTCTTGACCCGGATGTCGGTCATTTTTTTTGTTCGAACGAGTGAAGTAGATATAATAATATTATGGAAAAATCCGTTTAAGTGCAGTATCTGGCGGAAAATACCTACCTAACCTTAAACAAAATTCGATTATCGATTCTAACATCTCATGTCTATTGAGAATTTTATTTAGGGTTATCTATGAGGAAGTTTATTTGAAACCAATTAATAATTATTTTCAACACAAATCCAAGTAAAGCGATTCAAAATCGAGAAAACACTGTAGAAAGTAAACGAATATTTACATAAAGGTTTAACACACCGACATTTGTTTAAAAATCAATTATAATATAAGTTGCCAAACACTATTTTTTTTTTTTTATTTTGAGCTCTCAATTTTTCCCCATCTCCCAAGAAAAAATATTTTTATTGTAGTGTAAAATCGTTTGCAATTATAAAGTATTAATAAAATTAATAACATTTTTTTCATAATTTGTCAAAGCCATCTTTTTTCTTTGATGTTTTTCTTAACATTTCTACATTTATTACTCTGTCATACGGCAAAATCTTGAGAATCTTAGATAAAACCACATTTCAAATCAGTGGTTGACAGAGAGGGGGTTCGGGGTTTAACGTACCCCAATCTAAAAAATTATGGAATAAATTATTTAAAACATAGAGTTAATAAAAATATAATAATTAATTATTAAAAACTAACGAAGTTTAATTAATTGGAGTCTTAATGGGGAATTAATTATCTTCGTCCTCTCCTCCAAATTAATTTCCTGCGTCCGCCTCTTTATCAAATTTCTTAAGATTTAACTTTCAAAGTTATGCTTAAAATATATTCTAGCTCGATTAATTTGTAAAACAATTTCCCCTATATTAAAATATCTATTGAACCGTAATAGTGTATTTAAAGTTTAAGTAAATGTTTTTTTTTTTTTTAAGTTGGCATTCTTTCTAGCAGTTTAAATTTAACATAAATGAATAAATAATCAGACGGTAATTATTGAAGAACTTTCGCCAAATTAGTATTAATAATATAATATATACAAACATTTCGAATAAAAGTAGCGGTCAAAGGGACGACGACTGTATTGGCATACCGTTGACGTAAATTAGCTGTGGTATTTATTATGTTAATTGAATAATATAATTTCGAACTGTTATTCTCTATATCAGATTAGAAATGCAAGCTTGAATTTCTAATTAATTGCACGGGTTTTATGGAGTTGGAACAAGCATTAAATAAAAATGTATACTATTCTGATAACTATATAAAAATGTAACCGATAGATACCTAATAGCCACCGAGGTTACATTATTTATTCCCGTAAAAAGTACCTTTTCAATCAAAGTTAAATCATTAATTACCACGTTTTATTCGAAATCTAAAATTTAAACATTGACCATGTGAAATAAATAATTGGATACCTACTTATTTATAATAATTATTGTAATAGCCTGTAAATATTTCATATAATAAAAATAAATAATTTATAGTTAACGAAGCTCAATGTGTGCAGTAATTGGGGTATATTATAATATACAAAGGAGCGGAGATAATACCGTAATGGTAAATCTAGAGTAGAAGCCGGAAGAGAAGACAACGGAGGAAGTGGTTGAATGTAGTAGATCTTAAAATGCTACAAGAATACAAAATTGGAAGGCAATAGTTCAAGACCGAGAGTTACAGAGTGATGTAGTGATGACGGTGAAAACTCTAAGAGTTATAGATGTCAGTGATGACGGTGAAAACTCTAAGAGTTATAGATGTCAGTGATGATAATGAAAAAAAAAAACGATTTAACCCAAGTTATAAAAACACGTACAATAGAAATCGATAAAAATAAAGCAAAATTAAATTATTTAAAATTAAACAACCAAAAAAAAAATTATATATTATTAAACTCTCAAGTTAGTTTATCATTTCATATTTTTCATCCGAATTTGAAATATTTAGATTATATTATTAATTGATCTATATTTAAATATTTAATTAATGCTAATCTTAAGTTTTTAGTTTGAGGGTTAAAATTTATCAGGTACCTGAACGAATCACAAATATTTTTATTTTATTATTCAATACCTAGGTATCGTTTTATTATACAGTTTATAGTGTTATAATACCAATAATTAAAATTTTATTAGTTATCATAATTAGGTACACAATAACTCGAGTAGGTATATATAATTCGAAGGTTATGGTGACATAGGTATTCGTGATTTGATTGGTTTGTGTACCTTGAAGGTGCACCAAGTGGTGAATCGAGATCGTAAATCATTAATATAGGCACAATAAAAAAATAATGATTTTTTTTTTCCTTCTCGTATTTTCCATTAATGAATACGTACTAAACTTTTACATTCCGATGATCAAAAACAAAAAGGAAATAGTTTAACAACGTATAACTTATGTTGTGTTAAAGAATGCTCGACAGATATAATGCGGTGATAATGATAATTTATCGGTAATTGTACCTATTTTGAGGTATCAGCTAATTTTCCCAATATTTTTTCAAATAAACCTACGAAAAACGGAAAATTTATCTGTTTTCGTCCCAATCAATATTCTACTATTATTTCGTCGTAACTCGAATATGCCTTACACAAAAACTCTATTAAAATTGTTTTTCTACGAGTTTTTGAAGTTAAAATTACATATTATAGAATACAGAACGTTTCGAATTTCACTCAGGACAGTTTTTCGGACGCAATACCATTTATAAAAACTTATAATTATTCTGTAGTAATTAAAATTACAAAATAATCATATCACGTACCGCTGAGTAGGAGAGTCGGATAAAAGCTTCCCAGGGCCAACTGGATAGCGTTTCTTTCCAATTCACATATGGCCGATATAACGAAACCTGTAATAGATAGGTATGACCGTCAACACAATTATGATTGCAATTTTTCCGGCAAAGGTTGACTGTATTGATAATCTATTATTATTGGCTTACCGAAACACATGCCGCACAAACCCTGCAATATGGTAAGAGTAATCACTAAACTAATGTCTCCTTTGCATTCCACGCCGAATACGATAATCATGAATATGAGTACGAGTGCTGTTTGTCCGCACATAACCACGAACTGTGTAATGACGTGCGAAAACAATATTTCCAACGGAGTGACGCCTGCACAGAAAAAAAACAATTAAGTTATTTAATACATATATTTATTAGAATATTACAATTATTTATTTTCGATAAACAAATAATAATAATTTTGTCCAATCATCGTGATCGTTACTCGCGGACGATGCAAATTCGATGTGAAGGTGTTTCCGGTTTCGAAGTAGGTGCTTATACTGAGTCAATACCGTATGTACTTATATAAAACTTGGAAATATATTTTTGTTTTCATTTAAACTTTTTTAGAGGAAGAGGCAAAGGGTACGAAATTGTAAGAAATATCCAGAGGTGAGAGAGAAGCTGAAGTTGTGTAAAATGGAAAAAACGGGGCTCGCGTTCAAATATATTCTATATTATGTAAATATCGCAACAACTTTATTGCGCCATTGCCACAACAACTCGCGCTAAGATTAAAAGCCGTAAAATATTATCCGGTCTTTTTATATCTGGTGTGTGTGTGTAACGGCTTAATACCTAAATATTCGTATACACGCATAGACCATTAAGGTAAAACACTGAAAATTATGTATACGACCTAATATTGTTTATTTTGCATAGTAGAAACTCCGCAAACTACAATAACTTTCTTATTTTAGTTAAATTATCATCATCAAAATATTTACCGGCGACCCAACTCCTGTCCAAAAGACCCTCGGTCCGTTCAATAATCAGCGCTGACGAAGTGAGCGCGACAGCCAAGAAGAAAACGATTCTATACAAAATAATATTACACAACATTTAAGTATCATTTCGTAAAATTATAAAATAAATACACAAAAATAGAGATGACGCTCACGTTAAAATGACTCCTGGAGCTACGAAATCTGTAAAACTAGGGTCACTGCTACCGTATATCGGTTCTTTAAACTATATGTAACATAAAAACAATAAATTGTAATTACTTTTCATTCTGATATAATAATATTTAGGATTCGAGAGAAAACTCGAAATTTACTTGAATTGGAATATCAGCGAGTTTTGGATTCTGATCACAACTCTTCAACAAATCTTGCCCGAAGTCTCTGTACGACAACTGTAGGTCTCTGTTCAACATCAAACCGATTTGTTGATCTAAAAGCAAAAAATATAAAAATAAACAATCGAATTCTAAAAAATTATTGTGAGATTAACTTATAAGTAGTTATACTTACTCGACATATCCAACCAAACCCGCACTTCACTCTGGTCCAAAGTTTCATCATCGGATTCTCTGCCCAACGCCATTCGTGCAACTAGTGCGTCGGTAAAGTTTTCCGTAAAGTAAAGCGCTCCCCAAGCGTCGCCCAATTTCACGGCGTCTATAGCTTCATCGGGGGTCTCATAATAATCCTGTGGGGAAAAAAAACACGTTATTTGACAAATTCTTAATCTGGTTATTATTAATGGACAAAGGTCAGATTTGTATGAATTCATTCTGAAAGATCCACGAAACATAATATAGAATTTAGCGTGAATTATTTTGTTTACAAATACATATTTTGAGAATATATTTAAGAATATATTTAGTACACCTTTTTGGTATATTTATGAATATATATTGTATACAATGACTATTGTCTCATTATAATGTCTACAAAAACAAAAAAATAGGTAAGTACGTGCGATTAGAAATTTTTTATATATATAGCATATAATAGATAAAATTATATAATATTTTAAAATTTTCAACATGGTTAAACCTCAAAAATATCTATAATCTATATTATGTTTTTAGAAAATATTATTTATTAAGTTATCTATTCAAACACAAAACACAATATTATACGTTTTTACAGTAGGTAGATAATACATAAAAGGTATCTCATTTCGTCATAAATCTAAGGACTGCTAAGAATAATCAAAATCAAATTTATCACCCGTAATTGTCAAATGATTTAGAACATGTTAAGACTTTTGTATTGGAGAATATTTAGCTCATTTTAACGACATAAAAACATCATAGTTTATTATTTATAATTATGATTTTTAGAAAATGTAATAATTTATTCCGACCTCTAGTAATATGTCCATATTAGAATTAGTTCAATATTATTATAGGTAATAATAACACTCACTAGTATTACGGTATCCTTCGGCAATGCGTCCAAGTACCTGCACGAAAACAAGCTTAGCGTACAATTGTCGTAAATCGGACAGCTCTTGTTTTCCCAATCCATTTCGTGGTTGACCACGGCCAAATGTAAGCCCGTCGGATCTCTACCGATGGCCAAACAGAAAAGTATGACTTGCATCACCGGCAGCGCAAATATGAACAACATTACTCTGCAAACATTATGTTGTTTTTATATATATATGTATATATATAATTAATTATTGGCACGTCATTTTACATAGTAAATATACTTTGAATGCGGACATAAGCTAAAATAAAAATTAAGTACTTATTATTGAAGGATTTTCAATAAAAATCTGTACTTATGACAAATTTAAAATTTAATAATACGCTAAACAAAATTAATAGCTCTTGTTAAACTACTAAGGTACAATAGTACAAAATACTAAGTAAAACTATGGTTCGGTTTTAATTTATTAACAGGGCTATCTGGACGACACTGATGCAGTCTTAACAGAGAATGAAGAAGTTTTACAAAATAATTAATTAATTAAAATAATTAATGATAATGAATATTATATTTAAGGATGAATATAATATGAAAATAATAAAACAAACATTTTAGTTCTCATATGTTGTATAAAACTAGATGGGGACACGAAATAAAAAAATTATAAATATAATAAATATTTGAGGAATATTGCAATAAATAATCGACGTTGCATAACAAAAATCCCTAATTCATCATTGATCATTAATAATGTCTTATAGCAGGCTATAAAACATATTAATATTATGCCTTGATCTTGAGGTTTATTTATTTATATCAATAGGTAATTGTATAAGATTTATAATACAAAAAGTAAGGAACATAATTTTGTGTTTGTACATGTTCAACATCGAAATATTCAAATTTGGGAACACGTCATTCCAATAGTTTTCACCTTACGAAGTAATAAGTTGCAAGGGTAACTATCGTTGCTTAGTTTCTTGCACACATCCCTTCACAACAGGAATTTGTTATATTATTCTTCTTGATTGTTTAAACCAAAAAACGTCATATTTTTTTTCGTTACACAAATTTTTTTTGGTCCCCAGACATAAAAAATATCAATGTCAAAATACAATTCAGATTACTATAGACAAGAAATTAGGCAAAAAAGATTAACTTACTTTCAGAATATAAGGGAAAATCAGCTAAAGACCTATGTTTCAAGGATGACACTTTATGGGAGTGAATCATGGGCAATATAAAAAATTAAAAAACAAATTATAACTTGTATTCGAAGCGCGTTGCTACAGGACCATCTTAATTTAATTGAGTAGATCATATTATAAATGAAATAATGTAAAAGAAGAAATAAGTTTCCTAAAAGCCCTACAAATTTGAAGAGCTAATTTTACGCAATAGTCTAATAGAATGAATAATAGACAGAGAGAGAGAGAGAACTCAAATACACGAGTCAAGTAGTTAAGTATATAAAAATATACTTCAAATTAAAAAAAAAAAAAAAAAAAACGGAGAAGCATGAAAAATGGAAAACTGTTTTCAATCAATTTCTAGACTGTTCTTGCCAATCTTTACTCACCCCACGTTTCTCCACATTCTCAAAAAGTTCTTTTGCAACAGCGCCTTTGTTTTGCCCCGAGTGGTGATTTCGCAGCAACTCGAGTCGTATTGTGGTTCCATCATTTGCATTTCAGACAATTTACCATTTACACCGTTCATCTGATCTTGTACGAGTACCTCTTTATTCTGGTGGAAATTCAAACCCACCACGCCACTCTCTTCGGTCACGTATATCGGTTCGTCCTTTTTGCCCCAATTCAACGTAGCCTAAAAATTTAAAATCAATATTATATTGTAGCGCCTAAAATTTTAAAACATAATGCGTATCTAATGTCTATTGACTTGCCTATGCAAACGCCGAAAATAACACAATATTAATATTATAATTCAAATAATAATATATTATAACAAAATAATAAAATAAAAACAAAATTATCATACCGTTAATACTCGTAAATAAATATATTAATAAATAATTTATATGTAGAAATAAATAAATAAATGCGTCACCTAAAGTATTATGTGCATTATACGACCGGTTTCGAATTAAAAATTCATAATCGGGTAAACCACTTAAAAAGTAAAACACGACTGCGAATAATATAATACTGTAGTATAAAATGTGTATAACACAATTTGCTTGCATCTTACGCTTAACAAAAATATTGTTTATATTTCTAATGATTGTTTGATTATTATGACATCGATTTCGTTTAAACGTATAGTAAACTTCCTATTGATATTTACTAAACTATTGCCTAATACTAAAATACTATGTACTTACAAGTGAAATGTTATTCGATATATTCACCGGCGAGGTTGTCTCTTGCGGCTGTCCGTCCGTCCCTTGTTTTCTGCTCAATTTTAAAAATACTTCTTCTAACGACTGACAGTGATACATGGACAACAATACGCGTGGCGATTCTTCGGCCAATAACCGTCCGCTCCTCATCAAACCGATCTAATCAAAAAAAAAAAAAAACCAACGGATTTACAATTATTGTTACGACAAATAAATAAATAAACAATTATAATTACAGTGTGAGCTTGTCGGGCCTCCTCGATGTAATGTGTAGTTATAATGACCGTCTTGTGTCCGTCTTTCGTGATCTGGACCAGATGATTCCAAATACTTCAATAGAATAAAATGTATTAAATATAAAATACGAAGAACTAAATTAATAATCATCCACCAAAACTAATTAAAATAATAATTACCTTTGACGGAGCAACGGATCTACACCGACGGTAGGTTCGTCTAAAATTAAAAGTTCCGGATCGTGCATCAGAGCTACCGCGAAAGAAACTCTTCTCTGTTGACCACCACTGTCAAAAGACACAATTTTAATTTGTTTTTTTTTTTCTCGTTACAATATAATTACCTGAGATTTTTGACCAGCCTAGACTGACTGGGCAAATCTAAGAAATTCAAAAGGAACTGCAGTCGGTCGTTGATTTCTGTTGTTTCCATACCGAATATCCAACCGAAATACATCATTGTCTCCTTGATGGAAAACTCTCCGTACAGAGCTATTTCCTGTAAACAAATAAAAAATAAATAGATAAAATAAAATAATTATTCGATGTATAAATCTAAAAGAAAATTTAGAATTAGTATACAAAAAAATATATAAAGCAAGCCACGTAGGTATATTTAGAATACATTATAAAAGATCATTATCTAATTTTGGCTGTACAATATAATCTCATGCATTCGTAATTTAATTTCTAAAATGTGTGTATAAGATTTCGAGATGCAAACCGACCCGCTTGGGAACGAAATGCCACTGAATTTATTATAAAAATTGTATAGTGTACCTATCTACTGTATGTTTCCCAGACACGCTGGTGTAGTATTTTAGGAAATATTTCATTCTAACGTGACATTTGTAGTCCGCACGTATATACGGGAAAATAATAATAATAAAAAAAAATTCCTACGTTCTAATATAATATATTTTAGTACTCGAGCGTTGTAGTTCCGTAAATAACATAATGATGAGATAGTTAAGAAATAAAGGTATTTTCAACTTTTGTATGCTAGAATCATACAGAAAAAAGTAGAATGAATTTAATCAATTTTAAATAAATGCATGTACACACATGATTTTAAAGTCTAGTTAAATTTAAAAAATAATTAAGTAAGTATACTAAAAGTATTCTTCAAGTAGGTTCAGAATATATTATTTTAAGTGTTTTCCTATAATAGATACGCGTATATTACGACATGAAGGTATTTGCGTACCTATTATCGTCAATATAAAAATTTAAAAGAAAAATAATGTAATGTTTTCTGTAAAATGTTCACTTTTAAATTACAGTCAGTGATTCTAATGGGGAACAGAAAAAAAATTATGCAGCGTACGGAGAAATCGTTTTTCCGCGTACACCTATTCCGAATATAGGTGTATACTATATACTGTATAATAATGAATTTGATATTGAGTTTGTATGGCATATTGGAATATTTGTCAAAATCTGTCAACATAATATCCGCTATCTAGAACTTAGAACAAGATCCTAACTATTACTATCGTGTCAGTAGGTAGTATAACGGAGAATGATAGAATCAAGTTTTGGACATAATAAATAGAATTGTACAAGGAAAATATCTTTTTCAAAAGAAAAAACACTTATTAACAAAAAACAACATTGGACTTATACAGTTTATTTATAAAGGAGTGAAATCTAGGAGGACACCTGCAAGCTGCAGTAAGCACAATCAAAAACCGAAATTTATAGAAGCATTATTGAAATATAGTGTTACCATTGATTATACGTTTCGATTTTATTATTTTAAATCTTGACGACTTATATTTTACACTAAGAGATCTTTTTTTGTTGAATTAATAATCTAGTTGGTGACCAAAAAAGTCCTTTTTTGAATTTCTTTATAGTATTTTAAAAATCTAAGCAAAACCGATAAATACGTAGAAAGAACGAGAAAATTTACGAAAATAATTCTTTTATTATTTTAAATTACAATTTTTTAATGTAATTCAGTTTGTAATGTATGTATAAACTTGAAATTTATATGGAAAATGTATTTTTACTTTTTATAAACGCGGTAAAATTATTAAAACATTTGAGTTATTTTTGAGCTATTTATAGAAATTTTAATTTTGTCAGTTTTTACGTAATATTTCTTTTGTAGGTACTCTGTAAAAAAATTGAAAAAAAATATGTAAAAAATGAAAACTTAACAAAAATTCTTGAAAATTTGATTGGAGGTTCAATATAATTCGTATTTAGTGATCGGAAAAAAAATTAGTTTAATGTAGTATAATTTTTTCTATAAAAGTTTTAAAATTAAATTTTAACAACAATTGTAAATATTACGGCTTTTTAAAACATATATAAACGAACTTCACTCCGAATCATTTTTCGTTATCAATAGTTTATCGTTGTTTACAGGTAAAAATTAAATAACTTTATGTATCCCACTTTCCCAACATCCATCCACAACAGTGGCCACACCCGTCCAAGCTCTTTATTATTATTATTATTATTCTACAATAAAATATAAATGAATTGCTTACTTACATTTATTAAAAATTAAAATTACAAAATAACGATTAATATTTTTTATTTAGATATTTTTAGTATTATACATATATTGTATTTATATGTATATTGTGTACATAATCTATATATATAAATTTAAATTCTCGGATTTTATGGTTTATTTTTTATTTTAAATATTTTTAAAATCAGAATATGTTCAATTGTAAATAAAATCTGATTGAAAAAATATTCAAAGAATATTCATTGAAACGTTTAATATTTATTTTGACATTGTTCAGCTTGTATAATCAATGATTTATGAATATTAGTGGTATAGGAAGTCCGAAATACGAACCGACCGTTCTGCTGTATTGATCGTTGGTTAAACATAGACCATTGATTATAAATTTATATATATAATCTTTGTGAGTCATATAATATTTATATTGAATTAGTTACCAATCGTTGACAAAATATTATATTTTTATTAAATTATTAATTGACCTGTGGCATTTTTCTTATCATATATTTATTTCAACCAAACAAGTTTTAAAATGACCAAACGATGTGAAAATATTTTTCGTTCGTCGTGGTGTTACCGTAAAATATTCCAAGAATTTGTGACACGATCAAGTAAGAAACAAATGAATCAGACTTATGAAGAATTAAAGAAAAAATACAATTATTAAAAAAAATATAAGTCGCATAACATAAAATTGAAAGATATCAAGGATATAATATATATCACAAATTCTTCAAAACATAGGAATAAAACATTACAAAGTAGGAGGTTTGAGTAATTACAGAGGTACGTGGAAAGCTGCAGTCAACTAATCGAAAATTTGAAAACTATGAAAATTAACTAATATATCTATCACATTCTCCAAGACCAAATTTTGAGGAAATAACCTATCTAAAGATTGAGTAGCCACCTGCTATAAATCGTTCTAAATGTATAGGTAATTAAAAAAAAAAATCATTAATAATAATACCATATTGGCTAATATTGTGGTTAAAACAGAACAAAAGTTAACTGTTCGTGTCGATTAATAATTGACGTTTATGTGAGCAAAACGAAGATACATGTAATATTATATTATAATAATAACCCGAAATAGATATAGAAGTAGACATTTGTAAAAGTCAACAACGTCCTCACTGTAGGAGAACAGTTTTAATTTTTGCAGCCAACCCAGCTGTCTCAAACAATATACCGAAACCGAATAATAATAATAATAATAATTATGAGTGTTTTACTCGAGAGAAAGAGAGAGAAAAAGAGAGAGAGAGATAGACAAAAAGAGAGAATAAAAGGTTTTGTGGTGGTTTCTATTTTCATTAGCAGCCATTATGGCCTATAATTTTAGTGATCATTTTGTCAGGACACGAATATTATTCATCGTCGAATCGTCATCCGAAGTAAACGTCGTAGGTACCTGTCTAGTTTGTCCACTCTTTTCGATATTGATTATCCTATAAAATCCAGCAAGACTCATTTTGTCATTGTTCTATGAGGTCAACTGCTGCAGCTAAACGGCGGACAATGACCGCATTATGACCAGTAGAATACACCGATGAGCGAATTATTTCAAATTTCAAATTGAATAATAATAATTTCAAGAGTCATAATATAATAATAAAAGTACAAGAAAATTGGACGAGCGATTTTTTTTAAAGATAAATCAAAAATTAGCATTACGAACGTAATTAAAAAATAAAATATTAAAAAAACAACCCGACGACGACGGAAAACTATAATTTCTAAACTTACTACTTTTAACGTCAGTATCATTCGAGTAATAAAATCGTCCGGAAAACGCGATTACTGAAGAGTGTCAAACACGATATTATTACATATATATATAGTACATATATGTATATACAGTAAACACCTACACTAAATATGAAATTTAATTTTCTTTTTATACCTCATCGTCGTTATTATAGTATTGCGTTTCTGTTGTGGTAATTTCAAAAATATACACATAATATAAAATTTACGGCATTTTATTGGTTTATAAGAATAACAATAATAATAATAAATTGTTTAAAAAGACGTTGGTTCGCATACACAAACAATTCATTCTAAATATAAATCAAGTATAAATTCATAATAATCAAACGCTTAGTAGAATAATAGTGTAGTATTGTTTTTCTTAATCTAAAAAAATCGATTTCTAACAGCTAGGAATGAATAACTGATTAAAATATTTTATATATATATACCTATATCAAAATTAACAAAAACGGTTGAGGTGTGAATATTCTCATTTTTCCCATGTGCTGTTCCTCCTAAACTAGTTTAAAACTAATTTAAACTTCTACAAGGAAGATCAAAAAAATGACCTATGATCCCTGCATGTGTCGAACAATTGTTTACAGACAGAAAAAAAACCCACCACTACAAAACAAATACCCTTCTCGCTTCGCTCAGAATCAAAAAACCCATTTTAATTATATTGTTGTAGCTTTTCGTAATTTTTTTTTAAGGACGAATATAAATTGTATTATTATATAAATATATAAACTCGTAATAAAACAATAAAATGTAAAATGTTTTGTTTTATTAACTCTATTGTTAAATATAACGCTAAAAACTGTAGGCAATATTTATGAGAACTACAATTACTTATTAATCTTTTATTTTTTTTTTCATAATTTCCTTTTTTTTTTTTCAAAAAAATTTTCGCGTAGATTCCCTTGAAGAGCTTAAAATATAATATGGAAAAAAAAAGGGTTTTTTTTTTTTAGAATAAAGTTATAAAATCATCATGACCAAATACGTTGTAAAAACCATGTCATTGAAACTATAGCTGTATTTATTTGTATTCTTATTATTTTATTTTTATTTTTTTTTTACTTAAAGACATTGTAATATCAAAATATATAGTGTGTATTTTTTGTATATTTATATTAGGAAAAAATACCAAAACCAATACACGAAAACCAATAATAATTAATAATATGCGTTAGGTATTTATTGTATACCATGGATATCTAAAATGAAAATCTCGCAATGTAATTATCACAAAAAAAATATAAAACAATAATAATACTGGACTGATAAATCATATTGATTTGATGAAAAACCTTCGAGTTCGAACAGGTAAATAAATAATTGATTAATTATTGTAGTTTTTCTATTATTTTTTTTTAATATTATGTGTGTTACGCAGCGAATGTGTTATGGACACGGACGGTTTTACAAGTGTATACTGAGTGCACGTGTGTGCGAATGAAAATAACTCGAAATACGTGTTCTACAATTTCAAAACATTGCGGAACTGCAAATATGGGAATTCATATACTGTACAAGTACCTACCTATACATATTATTATGTTTTTTTGAAGTACAGCCCGACGCGGTTGTCTGGTATATAATAAAACACGCCGCTAAAATATTATTTATTTTGAAATACAAACACGGGTAAGTACGTATAACATGTAGGTATCTAATATTTTATCGCGAAAATAATAATAATTCGAACAATTACCGTCGTTGCGCATTGTGATTTTATAATCGACGACTTAAAGGCATTTAGAATCAACAAAAAAACGCTCGAAAAACAAAAAAAAAATTAAACATAAAGCATTTAAAGAAATAATAATAAGAAGTTAGGTATCGAAATAAGCGAAAAAAACCGCGATACCCGGATTTTATATTTGAAAAACTGAAAACCGCGGGCTGTTATTGAAATATTATTATCCGAATAGATACTCATCGGTTGAATTACGAATGCTTTTTGTTCGTATTTCAATAAAATCAGAAGTTTTTTGAAACCTCACCTGCCCCCAACCTTGATATCCTCAATATCCACCGATATACGATGTCGGCTTATGCCGATCCCGGGGTACTCGAAAAAATACGTCTCGTTATAAAATCTGAACAATATGTTCTTTTTTTCAGAATATATAATGAATGTTTCAGAACGGCTTCGTCAACCGTTCTCGCGAACAAAAATTCAAAAAATAAAACTTTGCATATTATTATGCATTTGGGTCGGTGGTTATTTGTGTAAGAATTTAATTTATTAAACATTATAATGTGATCGTTCATATACGTCGTGGTGCTTTATAACCATAATAATATTATTTTAATTCGACTTATGTTTGTGTAATTCGAATACGCGTATACCTAAAATTTAAACATAATAATATTCCGTAGCAATAGATAACACAATTTTCAGAATAATTACACAATTGTCAAACGTAATATGATTTCGATCGCGTTTCAATATAAATAAAAAGTTGTTATAATTATTTTTATTCTTATTTATAATTCGTTGTTGATAAAATAGATAACAACATTGCGATTACTGTGGTTCTAATAACAGATTAAAAAAAAAAATCATCTGATAATTTATGATAATAATAAATGATAACAAATAATGTTGCTTTGTAAATGTAAACGATGTTCTATTCATTTTTTTTTTTAATTTTTAAGGCTAGGTATACATATGATAATGATATTTTTAACTTTATAAAATTAAAAAACCATTCTTATTATTACACGAATGACATATCTCATATGATGGTTTTTATTTTAAACCGTTAATTTGTCTTCAATCATAAGTAAAAAGTGTACTAAACTGTTGTGTATGAAAACAGCAATCTGACAAATATTACATACAAAACCGTATATATATATCAAAATTATAAACTGTAAAGAATAATGTTTGTATAAAATAAATCTTCATACACCATACATCATGAACTCCAAAGCAATGATTTTATATTGATTGTAAAATCTTAATACTATGTCCGTATTTTGTTATGAAGAATTTCGAAAATCGAAAAAAGCTAATTTTTAGATTTAAACATCTTATGTATAAATATGGATTGTTTTTTATTCAAGTGTTATTTTTTTTTTTTCACGTGGATACGGTGTAGGCAAATTGTTTAAATTAAAAAGATAACTCGAAAAGTCGATCGATAAAATGATAATTCAATTAATAATCAATAATATTAGATCGTAATTAAAAAGTACGACTATAGTTTTTTGACCACAGTTTTTGTATACTAACTTGTTTACCCGCCCGGCGTTTCCCATGCCAAAAGAAATACTGTTTAACAATGAACTATGTAATCAGTTTCTATAGTAACTATTGTTCATTGCGGGTGTCCTCGCGACAGCTATAACAGCCCCTAACTTTTTTTTGTTTACTTTGTTTTAACTTATTTTATTATTTCATCCATATCACCAAAGTGACCCATTAATTAAAAATAATATGATTTTTGTACCAAAAATACCAATAATCCTGTGTGTCGTACCTTCCTTTAGGGACGATTAAGGGAAAAAATGTAGCCTATAAGTTATTTATGATCTAGAACTAAATAATTCAAATTTCGTGCAAATTTTCAGCTGAATTTATTCAGTAATTTTTGACATGAAGGAGTAACATACATCCACCCAAACAAACTTTCACATTTATGATTACTGTAGGTCATACCACAGCGGACTTTTTTGTAGGCCTTTTTAAGATATACAATTAGTGTATAGTACATTTTTTTTATGTATCTCAAAAGTCGTTATTTGTTAACCAAAGTAGTTTTCAGAATAATCGGGAAAAATGTTAAAGTTTATATTTTTCTACCGAAAACCTTAGTGCAAATTTCTAGAATACCATATTTTTTGAAAAAAAATGTTGTCTAATTTATGAGTAAAGATGTCGTTTAATTTTTATTTTTTACATTATAATTATTAAAAACAATATTGCATATCGTAACTAGGAAGTTGTGTGCAGAGAGCCTCACTTAATATTTTTCTAGAACTCCCACCCCCTGCATTGAAAATTCCCGAAAATTTCTATTGTGAAACTCGTTAAACTATATTTTATTATTTTATTTATGTTTCTAAAATCGAGATCCACGAACACGATAGTAAATAGGTACCTAACAATATAATATAATATTATATTGTGTCGGTTTCCATAATATTATTCTTGACAACGATGCTCCGAAATAATAAAATAAATATTTTTTGATAAAACTGCATTCTCCCACATAACTAGGTATATGAAAATAATTCACTGACACAAATTATAAACTCACATTAACAAGACGTCTTTTTTTTTTTTATGTTTTGTAAGTTGATCACCACAAATACCTATCTTGTGGGTTTTACCGAGACACGATGACTGTTGTGCTGATTAAGACCAGTATATCTACTATATAATATTATAGTAGTATATAAATACTAGTAATTTATCTACTAGTCTGCATATGTTGCAGACCGACAACAATTTGCACAGACTTAAATCTCATTCGTACATAGTGCGTGAATTAATCATCACTTAACGACCTAAATATACCTACCATAATAGAGTACAACAAATTACGTAGATTTAGGGTCCATTTAAAATTCTATAATTTTTTTTATACACACTCCAAAGAAGTATGTTTTTTGTTCAGCTAGACCTTCGTACTTGTAAAATGTATGATGCTTAACGAATAATATGCGGAAATACATTCTAAGCTTTTTGTATACCCTCCTCCTCCCCAAAGTTAATAATCGACTATGTTCGGGAAATCATAATAATGTTCACTCTCATTTTCAAAAATGGCTTAAACATGCTCTCTTAGAAAAAAAATAAAAATAATAAACGAAAATGGACAAGCCGGTAAAGCAAAATATCGAATAAAAATTTCGAAGTATCATTGGATTAGGTTAGGTTAGGTTACACGAATTGAACTGTGCACTTAGAATATATTATTTTCCTGATGATTCAGGGGAAAAAATGTGCACTGGATTGAAATCCGGCTCCTGTACCGGTTATAATCGCGACTCGAACGACGCGTCTCGCGGTCTTATCGAAAATAACCACGTGTGACCACCGTCAATATTATAATAAAAAAAGAAACTAAACTAAACGTTCGAGAGATTACTTTTAAACGTACGCGTTCGATAGTAATATTATATGACTGCAGTTATTATTGACGACATTCTTCTTACCTACATTTGTATTTTGTTTTATTCCCATTACGGTTTTTGGAGCGTTTGTTACCGCGATAACAGACAACTATTTTCTGTTCAGTTTAACCGCCGACAACCATAAAACAGCATTATTAGGCAGGCGTCAAAATAAAAAAAAAAACATCAAACTCATAGTGCGTGTATTACGGAATCTATGAGAAGGTACACGAAAACGCGACGTTGAGCGCAGCCTTGGCGTCGTCCTCAAATCATACGGTTTTACGCCTTGAAAAGGTTCCACGCCGGCCATATAAATAAACACATAATATGTAACCTACGTCATCCGAGTACGATCGACCTTGTCACCGGTCGCGACGGCAGATAAAATATTATTTCGATCGGATTTTTCGGACCAGAAAAATAATAAAAATTGATTGGTATAGGGAATAGGTAAATAATATTTTCCTGTTCAGTCGAAGCCGAAGCTGCGCAGAGGTCAACAAACGGTAGCCGAGAAGTCTCGCGTCGCGGACACAACGTAGACAAAAAAAAAAAAAAATAATTATAATAAAAATTACGATAGTAATAATTAAAAACGAATTTTATTTTATAATCTTAAACTTGCGTCGGTTATGATAATCCGTGGTTCCGCCCAGGAACTCCAACAAGTTAACACGTTTTGGATTTTTATACTACCGCCGTCACGAATCATCGACCGGCGAATAGAGAACATCACGTTTTTCCGGTTATCACATTTTTTTTATCCTAGAACGTCGTCATTTAACACACGAATATTAAAAAATGCATAGTTGATATAATAGTCAGTGATCTAGTTGATCACACACTTATTGGTTTTTTAACAATGCATATGCTCAAAACTTTTTTACTTAAAAACGTGGGTATACTTAGTTATTGTTCTCGTATACGTCTTATCCATTATTAATTATTATCAAAATATCGTATCCGATACGTGTTTTACAACAATGTATGAAAACGGACAGAAAACTTTTTCTCTTTTTTTTTATTTTCTTTTTCTTCAAACTGTTGCTGATGACTAGTGCTCGAAACTTAATGTTCTTGAAAAGTACTAAATATGCATGCATTTGTGCGTTAAAAAAAGTACAAATATGTTTCAAAAATATGCACTTATAAATTTAGTTTTTTATACAAAATGTTCATTAATATGTTCACTAGGGATTTCTCTGTATCTATACTTTTCCATAAATAATTTCAATTGAGGATTACTAATTTTGTGAAGCGATATGTTTGCCGACAACAAAGCTTTACATACATCTTACGAGAATTAACTTTTTTTTTGGAGTATTAGTAAGCTGTTGAACTTTTGTGTTTTTATTCTTTTCATTTTTCCTGATAACTACTCGTTTATGGTTTTCAATACTAATGTACCGAGTCACAAAAAATTCTCCGTCACTGTTTCTTAATCCTACATAACTTACAAAAAATAATAGTTCTATCTGTTTTTAAATATATCCGTATACTGTACTTCAACACGAAACTTTTTAAACGATTTGTCATAGATTTTTTAATTTTCGACATTTTCGGCAATGAAATAAAAATAATATAATCGAAACGAAACAAGAACACTAATGCGAACGAATTAGGTAGGTGGAAATAACATTTATATTTACGGGTACGTATATTCAAACACGTCGTAAGATATTTTTCGCCCTAAAGCGAATATTTGATTGCCGTTTTTTTGATGATTATTAATCTAATTTTGTTTTGCTGCTTCAATTTCATTACAATTACAATCCGATTATAAACAAACTATAATTATTGAAATTTATTGACTAATTACTGAATTTGAGCTCATTTAGTCCAAAGACAATCGCTAAAGTGCCCAATAGTAGCAGGGAAAATATTATTTATAACAGACACAACAGTATCTAGATTCCTCAAAAGTCTCAGTTTCTGGGGAAAATTCAACAAAAACTCTATTTTAAAAAACTTATAAGTTATTCTTCAAATAATATCGTCTCGTTTTTTTTCCGAATTTGTAATAAGTATGTAGGTGTTTTCCCTATAATATTTTGTAGGCGGGTATTTATTAAATTTAAAAATAATCCAATAACCCTCAACGACTTTTGCAATATATTTTGGTATATTTCGGATAACAGAATTATTGGTAAGTAGGTATATATCTATTCCAATAAAATTGTACGTGTTTGTAATAATATAAATCTATGTTAAAAAATCAGAGGATAAAGTTGTTCCAAGATTTAATATCGAAATTAAATTATTATTTTTATCTTATTTCCTATACGTACTACAACCGTACTAAAATCAATCTAATTATAGGTGTATTTAATTAATCAAAATATATTATTACCAACCTATCTAGAGTCTACATTTATGCCAATATCGATATATCGGTAAAATATTTTAAAATTTATTTTGTTTCTTTTACTATTATGGTTACACGAAAATAACCAGTTAATAATATGTATAATATACAGTGGAACCTCGATAACTCGAATCGGTTGGGGGCGAAAAAAAAATTCGAGTTATCGAAAATTCGACTTATGGAAAACATATACATATCACACACATATCATATATTGGAAGCCAGGGGCCAAGGTATTCCTTCGAGTTATCGAAAATTCGACTTATAGAGGTTCGAGTTATCGAGGTTCCACTGTAATTAATTATTTAATTATTTAATTTTCAAGTTGGTCGTATATAAAATCAAATCCCAAATTATAATATAATTTTGATGACCGCGGTTATAACCTCTGCCAAAATCATCGATTCGATTCGTTCCTTTTACTCTCACCTAATTTATTAATAGCGAAACACGTTTTTACCTGAGGCATGTATCCAACACGTTTTCCGGGCACTCCACTGCCTTTAGTTCCTGGTTTTCCGCCTAGCACGAATATTTGCCCAGTGTTCAAACGCCTCCGTCCGACAATGCAACTGAGCAACGTGGTTTTTCCACAACCACTGGCTCCTAACAGCCCGTATCTGAAATGCACAATACAATAAATTTGTATTAGTAAATCATTAAAAGGTCATAATATGTTATCATTCAACACACTACAAAATATATAGAATATATAGTTGAAAAATTAAATTTATTGGAAATAGGTTAAATTAATGATTACATTTTGCATCTGTGAATACACATTTATCTAATTGTGATAATACTAAATTCGACACACACTGATGGTATATTTTTCGAATTAATTTATATTTTCCTATAAAAGAACATTCGAAAAAAAATTCGGGAAAGTGAGAGTTTACAGCGCAAAAAACTGTTCACTCGACAACCCACTTGAAATGGTTCGGTTGATGACAAATCCGTTCACTAGTTAACTAGTTAACTAGTTCAGAATTTCTCTCCGAGTCAGTACAATTTTTTCATTTAATTTGACAGATTTTATTTGGTGATGAAAAAACCAAACCATCACTTGGAACTTATTGGTGTTTTTTAAAACACCATTTCATCCTTAAAGCTTGGTGGAAATAATTTTGAAAAATGGGGTTATTCAAGGACCGGAGAGTGATAATCATAAATGGTGATGACGATCCTGGCTAGTGACTGTAATGTGTTACCCTCAAAAAGAATATCGCGAAACAAAAATCAAAAAATTTGTCTGCATTCTCGAAAACTTCTGATCTGTCAGGTGTAATGTGTATTGTTCACTATCAAAAAATATTGAAAAAAAAATACCTAGAATCTAAAATAAATGATTTTGTTTGTTGCTCCCATGATCAGAATGAGTTATTGTGATCTGTATCTTCGGTGTTCAAACATTTAACTATTTTTCAACTAAATAATTTAAACTACCAATAACTATTGCATGTGAAAGCCCCAACACGTGGCAGCGGGATTTTTCCCGGGGATGTAAATAGTTTTCGAGAAACAATGATTAAAAGGAGGGAGAGAAAGAGCAAGAGAAAAACCTAACGCGGTCAGTGGTCACGGGTGGTAACGTACCGTGCGAAAAAAATAAATAGAAAATAAAAATGTGTGTCGATGCAGAGAGTGTTGTATTGCTCAAGGTGTCGTGCCGCCGCGGCCGCCTAACGAATCGCGGGCTGGGCGTTATGCTGATTTGGTGTTTATAATAATATATTATAAGGAATAAGGATAAATCACAAAACTATACTATTAAGAAAAAAAAACTGTAGAAAGACTGACGATATACGGTAGACTAGTTTATCAGAGATTGAAATGCTTGAGATGAATAAATTCTTTATAAAAACTCCATCGCTAAAGAAATAAGGAATGAAAAATTTAAAGGGATAGCAAAGGCCATAGGCGGCCCAACGTGTGCATGTTAAGAGAGTGACTATAAGCACAAATTAATGCGTGGATGCGGAAGTAGGGGAGGACACGAAATTCGAAAAGGAAATTTATAGATGCAATTAAAAGTGATATTATATGAGGACTGCTTAGATGTTATGGGAGTTATCATGGCAGTGTATATTTAGAACGATCTAGGTGTTCGGGAGAACAGAAGAAGAATATAATTTGATATCATTTTACAATATTTTGTATTATTGTAATTATAGTTTAATTACTATTAACCAATGGATAGTCAGACTATACCCACCCTCCCCTGAATTTTGTCCAAAAGTATTGTTTGTTATTTCAAGGCAAATGCTTATATTATGTGCGTAACAAAAATAATCGTTAATTTGAAACCCAGCCCGTTGATAGTACTGTTGAAACAGCGTCTCCTCAGTCATCAGCACCGCCCTGTCTGTGGGCCATCGAGACGATACAGACCGAGAGACATGGCCTAAACCGTATTTTTTCTCTGTCGCTTATCGTGTCGTCTGCGCGGTACCCATAGAGAGGGGTGCGTTCATACGTGGCACACTGCCCCCAGCGGCCACAGGTTTGTGGTCCGAACGCTCTATTTTCTCGCGCCTACTCGATAACATGTCGTCTGGTTCTATGGCCCAGCCGTGTTTGCGATGTATATTGTTAATTATTAATAAACTATCCGCGGGTAATACGTGCGGTATACTGACATTGTGCCTTTAGCGACGGTCATGTTGAGGTTGCTGAGCACGTGGTTGGGCTTGCTGGCGGAACCGTAGTGTTTGAACGCGTGCCGGACGCACACGGCCTGCTGGCGACGGGTCCACACGGTGCTCTGTTGGCTGAGCAGAGACGGCGGCTGGAACGCGGGGTTAACGATGCCGCCGCCGGCGCCGCCGTCCGCGAGCCCCACACTGACGCTGCCGCCGCCGTTCCGGGGCTCCATGGCCACCACGTCCGGAGAACTGCCCACGCTGGACGATATCATTGTCTTACCGCCACCGGATTCTTCGTTTCCTTCTCTGCGAAAATAAACAAATCGAACGGTAATGTTATTAATTGTTACTCAATTATTAGTCATTATTAATCGTATACACCGCGTTTGATCCAGAAATAACAGTACAATCGGATTCTGAAGGGGCGGTTTTTTTTTTTTTTTTATATATATATACGGCATTTCATCGATAACGCCGAGTAGCGCGAATGTATATCTGCCGCAGTTTTGTCCATTTTTTCATTTCTAACGTTCCTTATTAATACTTTGCAAATTCAGAAAACAAAAAGAAAACGACCGATGTCATATTTCGCAAATGAAAAACGTTTTCGTGCGTGACGACAACGGTGGTCATTTTGAATATTATTCATTTGTCACGACGAGTTAATACGGGCACAATGATTGTTATTATTATAGGTAGGTTATATCGGACGATGACGATGCCCCGGGGTCGTTTGGATACTTAATAGTCGCGGCCGCAATTAATATTATTAAGTGCGCCAACAATCGTTTACGAAAGCGCGAAACAAGTAGTTTTTTTTTTTTTTTTTATCTGTGTTGTTTTACCAAAATGTAATTTTTATACTCCGCGGTTTAACGTCTTTTCCGGTCTCGACCGCGCTATACAAAGTCACACGACACAACGACCTTACGTCGACATTTTCGTTATAAATAAAATTATACCTAGGTACCGAAAAAATAATACTGGCCGAATGAATTGTAATTCGACCGGATAATAATATTACGGGTATAATGTTGGACTTTGAAAACTGTTAGACGCGTATGAAAAATCAATATCGTTACATTTCGTACTATACTCAATAATATTATGTAAGTAACAAGCTGATGACCGAGAGGAAAACATCGTCCAGCTGAACGACTACGACAGTATTATGGTAGCCGTAGGACGAGAATGAAACGGAAAAAGATACCGAGTTAGGATCGTTAACGGTTAAAAATCCAAACAGATTGGAAATTATTAGATTCTGAGCGATGAAGTTTTTTAATATTTGTGCCATAGGACTGTAAAAAACTTCATATAATAGGTATAGATTTTTCTTGTCAAATATCAAATCTACTAAAGAGGTAATTTCTTTTTTGGGGGGGGAGGGGAGTGGGTTGGACGAAGAGATAAATGTCAATCTTTTTCGACATTATAGACATGTTTTGATAAAAGCCGAAATTGAGGTAGTAAAGTTAGATTTACGAAAAACACCCACAGAAATGTCTCGGGAATTTCGGGAATTGCACAACACTGCGGTGTACCGGATACGTGTACCGTGAAGAAAGCTTGCGGGCGGACGACGAGGAGTGATGATATAGGTGGTGGCCTGTAATAATAATTAGAGTCTTTCTCTTTGTCGGAAGGATCGCGCGTTACGTAACGTCGTAATATTCTTACACGTCCGTCGGACACCATGAAGACGCATTAAAATAATCGTACGGCGACGATAACCTCAAACCGTAATTTCTTCGTTATTACGGTCCCGTCCGCGGGGCCAACGCGGCAGCGGCTGAGCGCACGCGGCAATCGTTTTCGTGTCGGTTTTTTACCTTGAGAAAAAATTTAATATTTTTTTTTTATTATTTATTTAATATTTACGCAATCGAGTGTGTTTAACCATAATATTGCCCACTCGAATGGGTACCTACGACGTAAGTAAACCGTATGGGTTAGGTTAGGTGTATACCTACATCTGTTGACAATTCGTTTCCGCGTGACGCTTGTACGCGGGCCGTTTTAATATTCACACCGTGAGTGTACATTATTAACAGTCGATCCGTGTAAATAAATAAATAATTCGACGGTTTTCACGACCCGTCACGTTCGAAAGTTTTTTTTTTTCTTGTTTTTTTTTTTCCGTTTATAATAATTCAGTAATTAACGGACATATAGATTTCCTATACAACACGCTCGTACAATAATATTACAATAATCGTTCAAAAGTCTCGTCAGCGTTTCGACGTGACTTTATATAACACTGTACGCCGCGGCGAGATTAAATTATTATTATTATCATCATTATTATCATTATTACATTGGCAGTATACCTTGAAGAGGCTATAATATAATGCGATATGTACAATAATATTATTGCGTTGACCTTAGGACGTTTCGATGACGAGTGTCGTTCCGCGGTCGGAATGCGAATCGGTTTTTCAGCCCTGAACACGCGTCATGATTGCAATATTGTGTACCACGGTGTTTCGATGTAATTACACCATATAATATAATACCTATACCCGAAAAAAAAAAAAAAAAAAAAAAAAAAAGATAAAAACGCAAGCATTCATTCTAATTAAAATTCCCGGAAACGTATGACCGCAAATGTATAGAGTTCGTGACGCCGCTTGGCGGTGAGATGAGAGAACCGATTTGACCGACAGAAATTTTCCGTTTTAATGAGGCAGCCCCGCGATACGACGTCAACAATACAGTGGCCAAAGTCGACGGGCGACCGAATCAGTGGCTATGCCCACCGGCTCAGGGGCGGATCTCCTGGCAAGACGTACCGTCCTCGTTAAATTAAAAAAAAAAAATAATAATAATAATAACGCTTTATTTACCGCAATACGCGGTTTCATATGTGTCAGAGTTTTTTACGGCGGAATCGCAAACGAAATCGCACACTCGTACTTAATGAACGTTTCGAGAGAAAAAAACGCGAACGCCCGCGGTCCAATCCCCTAAGTCGCGCCCCACGGTCAGGCCGACGATCGCAAATCGACGGCGGACCCGCCGTTGTGCCGACCGCAGCGGTTCGGTACCGAACCTACCGAAGCCCCCCGACACCGTGTATCGTGAACACACGAATAGGTTCTTCTAGTACGAGGACGCACGGCGCGAGAGCTATGGGCCAGTATTCGCGTGGCGGCGCGCGTCCATCGGTCGGTGAATTTCGCTCTCGGTACTGTCTTGCCGGGATCACGGAGTCCGCGTGTCGATTGGATTTGGACAGTCCGTAATGTCGAATACGCCGTGCCGGTGTACGGTGTTGTAGCGCCGTATGCGCCGTATGCACTCGCGTGCACAGGCATGTGGCTGATAACGGAACAGACAGCCACCGGAGGGCGCGGAACCGCTTTTGATAATGTTCCGGCTTGGCGGGCTGCGGGAACCGCCTCAACCGCACAGTGGACACGACGATCGACGACACAAACGGACGTATTCGGCGGGTAAAAACTGTCACGGTTGTGTCTCGCGGTGGAGTTTCGCGGCCGTATCGATCGGAAATATTGTGCGTGCGTGCGTGCGTGCGTGCGTGCGTTTTTGCGCGGATTACGGGCCACACCGATTACGCCCGGTTACCTAATCCGCGGCAAAGAGAATGTTGAACGCGCCCGATCCGGAAACACCGAGCGGCGGCGGCTATCGTCTCGCAACGAGAATGCGATTTTGTTATTATGCCCGGCGGCCGCGTGCGCGCGCAATGTTTCGAAATCGTTCGCGTCGACTTTGCGGGGTTTTTTTTTTATTATTATTATTACTATTATGCATTCGGTTTTGCCGGCAAAACTAATAACGACACACATGGTAATGCATAACACCGAAATCCGGTCGTCGGAAACCGCCGTTCGAAACGCCGCCCGAGACGGGTGCTGCCCGTACACGCGAGACGCGCGCCGACCGCATCACGCTGTCGGGGGCGGGTACGGATTACGATACGTGCCGGGACTTTCGGGGAACGACCTTATACATAAACAACGTTGTATTTTTTGAAATATTATCGCACCTTGTAATAATATCGTCGTTTCGTAATGAATCTATTAATTTTCCCCTCGACCTCGACCGAGTCTAACGGCCCGAAAAAGGCCGACTTATAAAACGAATGCGCGCCGCGGGGGAAGGGAGAACGAGGTACAGCGTGTGGATGGGGGGGGGAGGAGGGACAAACGCGCCAGTGTATTATCGTCGTTATAATATGCCTACCCGTCGCGTAGGCATTATAAACGCATAGCAAGTGATTCGGTTAATCGACGACGGTTGTAATTTACTACATTATTATTTCCAAACGGAAAATTCCGACCGAAAATTGTACGTCTTAACGAGTTTTTAACCGATCGACTACGTGACGGCCGGCTGCCGGTATTTAATTGCTGCTGCCCGTACACGGTTTGGCGCCGAATAGAGCGACGAACGGTTGGCGAAAAAAAAAAAAAAAACAAAACAAAATAATTTACAAACTAAATACGCTTTTCGGATTTTCGCTCGCAAACCCGGGAACGGTGTGCACGGCATAGAAATACGAAAACTGACGACGTTCCCGCGCGAAATCGCGACAATACCGCGCGTCGTCGACGCAGAAACAATTAGGCCGTTAACGAGTCGCCGCGGTCCGCGTGCACGGCGCATCGAATAATGCCCCGGACCGCGATAATACGTGGCGGACGACAAACAGATCGCGGTCGCCGGCGGCGCGTGGATCGCGTTCCGAGATCCGGCCGAAATCGGGCGGACGGACCGGGGACGGTCGGCGCGACCACCGCGTCCCGGGGCCGTAGAGCACGGCGCGGGGTCCGAAACGATAACCGGCGCGCGTCAACGATATCGTTACGGCGCGGTTCACGAGACGGGCACTGTGGGTAGCGGCGGCGGTACGGAAACAGCGACCCGAACAGAATGTCCCGCGGGCCGCTGAAAACGCCCGTGCACATTTGCCGTCGTCCGACCGACAATAACCTACGGGTTCCGAGCGCCGCCGCAGTATTTCTACGAGTATCTGTGCCATTTTCCATTGTTTACAGGGCGCGCGCGCGCGCGCGTGTGCCGAGGGGGAAAAAAAAAAAAACCGTTCGCCGTCTCCATTCATAATGTAACGTCGCGCCCGTACCCTTTACAGCGCCGTACAACCTTGACAATGCGGAACGCGAACGTATGTTTCGTTATTAAAACTCGTTTGTATTCATTGTGCCCCGGCCCAAAAAGCCGCGCGCGCCGTGTTAATTATTACGGCCGTCGCCCGCGCGTTCGCTTTTTCCGAATTACTCCGCGGCCGGTTCCCGCCGTGTCGGGGAGAAAATATTATCACGTAGACAGATACGAAACGAGGCATGCGCCCGATATACCTAACCACCACTACTATCCGACGGTGCTGCGCACAATAGTGCGAAAATATTCTTCGGGAAAAACGGCCGCGTAAAGAGATTGCGTGTTTTTTTTTTGTTTTTTTCTGACGGCTTTGAACACGCATGTAACTCGTTGACGTAAAAAATCGAATACCGTATGAAAAAATATATTGTTTTTTCCCACTGCGCGCGGAGGTCGGTTAACGGCGGTTATCCGGCGGCATCCGGAAAATTCCACGCGAAACGTTGTAACGATAACCGTGCACACCATAAACCGTTACAGGAAACCGCATCATCAAGACGGTCGAGATGATTAATATTTTTACTAGAATTATTAGAGTTCTGTGGCGCTGGCCATTTCACATCGAAACTAGGGTCTCCCCCTACCCTCTTCAGTGACGTACGCAGCATTTTCCTACGGGAAAAGGGGCGAAACACATTAAATTAAATGTAGATACATATTAAAATAATTTCAAGTAAAATATAGTTAAATTTACTATAAAAAGTTTTTATCTTGAAGTTATTTTACAAGTCTTTATATTTGTATGCCCTTTTGTAATTCAATTATTTGTACTTTTTAATGTGTAATTAGCGAGGTGAACTTTGTAAAATCCGGCCTACAGTCATAGAGAATACGACGGCCGCATTTAGAATTTAGATTGACACATTTATATTTCATTAATTATTAACTACGAATTAAACTGAAATTGTTCTTAATTTCTTTTTTACAAATTGTATCATACATTTGAAGTCAAAACATATATAAAAATAAATTACGACATAACGCTTAACTTTTTGTTTTACCTCTAGTATACCTACCTAGAAACTATGATATACCTCGTTTCAAATTCTTTAGCATTTATACGGATCAACCAAATTACACAATTAAACCACAATTAAACCAAACAAGTTTGGGAAAATTCCAAATAGCTATAAACTATTAGAATCTAAACTATAACTGAAACAATTCCAAAATATTTTGAAAATTTTACTAATATACGTAATTAGATATTTAATACAAATTTCAAATCTTTACGATTATTTTTCGTCAAATTACTAGGTACGGAAAGTAAAAAAAATCGAAAACAAAAACTGCAATATTCACATATATCCGATATTATTCTCTGGTTTCACAAAGAAAAATCATTGGAGCAACAAATTTTCTGGTCAAAAACTGATAGGAAAACGTGTTTAATACAACTGATATAAAATTTTAAATTTATAAGCATTAGCACCGAACTATTATCTCATAATTTGAATACAGGAAGCGTCCATCTATCTTCTTGGATATTATAGCTTATAATAACTGTTTGTATTTTAACACGGTCGATGAGATGGGGGCTGAAACCTTTTTAGCCTCCCCTGGGTACGGAACTCCCTCCTCCAAAACAAATAGAAAAAAAAAAAATACCGAATGGACTTTTATTATTATTATTATTTTTTTATAGGTACTGAAGTCGTTAGCCAAATCGATGTGGACAAAATTCAATGACATGCAATGCTCGTATTAAGACTATACTATACAGAGTGGAATTTTTTTAAAAATGTTTACGGTTAAATTATACATAAATTCAAATTCTGATTTTTGAAATTTCTTAATGTAGTGAAAGCCAATTATTTTCGCGTACCTACTCAGATTTATCACAAAATTATGGGATATCCTGTAACGATATCAACTTTGGTGTTTCAAATGATTATTTTACGTAGTTTAATGCAAATTTTTAACCAAATGATTTTTTTCTGAAAATATTTACTTATTATAATCGAAATTTGAACGAAAAGTTACTGAGTTATCCTACTTCAATACTAAGGATAATGACACTCGGAGCGATCGGATTGAAACGTGAATGTTCTTGTTCGAAAAACGGAGTTTGGTATCGCCGCGTGGATAGTCCTTATACGTCGTGAAAAACCAACGTATTCGAAAATACCGCCTGATCATAAAAATTCCGAAAATTCGCACGAGTTAACCGTGAAAACGGGGCGAAAAAAAAAAATCAAATCGCATTCCAGAATATCGCTGCGGGTTTACGGGTCGGCCGCAGCACCCGCGAAAAACGAAACGGAAAAGATACGAAAATGCCTCCGCTACGGCGATCCAATCGGACATTATCCCCACCTACCAAACTATCTCGTTTATCAACGCACGCGCGTGTACCTGCGCGTTTTATTGTGATAATAACGCGTAATAATAATATTATCGTATCGTGTACCTACGCGCGTTTTTTTTTTTTTTGTTTTTTTTCGTTCTTATCCCCTCGATCGCGATTTTGTAACGATTTCGCATGTTATATACGTACACATAATGTACCTGTAACGTACCTGTGCGCATACGCGTCGACGACCTTGTTTCGGGAACGGCGACGCGCGATTACTGTGCGGAACGGGCGCGCGCGCCCGTAAAAATCGGATTTTTACGTTTTACGATTGTCGTCGGTGTTTTCGTGCGTCGTTTTCAATTCGGAAATATCGCCAAAACCGAAAACGCACGGCAGACACACCGCCTCCTCGCTCGGTTACCTGACGTTCGGCCGGACCGCTCGTCGCACACCCGACGTTTATTACCGCGCGCGGTGTTTAATGCTCGGGCTGTATTATTACCGCCGGGCGCGGGAACACGCGCGTTAAACACAACGATAATGATGTCGAGTACGCGTATTATAATGTGCCGCGCACAATAATTCGAAATCGGGATCGTATATTATTACCATTATGACCGCCGCGGCGGTATGCGATATTTTTATTATTATCATTATAGGCACTATAGCGGGTCAATAACGTTTTCGAACCGGTTCCGCGCCGCGGACCGATGACGCGGGGAAACCCCGGGACGCGTCATTAAACCGCTAGCCGCCGCCGTGAATTTTTTCGCCTGTCGAGTTTTATTAGAGTTATTTTTTTTCTCGTGGTATTTTTTTTTTTTCACATGATATTCCGCGCGCGCCGTTATTTTACGCGAGTCCCACGACGCGAAAACGCACGCTGACCGCCAGCGATTCGGCTTACGATTCGAATAAATATATTTGGGCTACGAACGCGTGTCGCCGACGACGGCGAGACGGGGTACGCCGCGACACCGTACTCGTGCTAGGCGTTCGGAGAATGCCGAAAACGTTTGTTGAAAAACACAACGAAAATCGCGCGCTGCGCTCGGACCGCGTAAATAATAGTACCGCTAACCGAACATGCATACAGGTACGTTTCGGTTGTGCAACGAACGCTGCACGGACATATACGTAGTATAATAAAAATAGTGTACGTCATACTTAATCGAATCGGTGTTTAAAGCGTGAAAGGGGGTGGCGGGATGGAGTGTTACGTTTTGTTCGAAGCCAAACGATCGTTTTCCTTTAGTTCAAGTCTCCGAGATCTCCGGTGTGGGAAACTTCACCGTGTATTGTCGCCGAGACATTTTTCAATGCAATTTTAACAAAAATCGAATTCTTTAACGGGTACCTGGGAATATCAAACTATGCGTATTGAGATCACTGGTGCGACCAGGGGGGGGGGTGCTAAAGCGGTCTTTAGCACACTCGAAAAAAACCCCGATCGGCTTTTAAAACGTTTTATCCGTGTATTTCATAATTAACGGGGAAAACAAAATACAGGTTTCCTACACACAATGCACACGCGTATGAAAAATACTGTTAAAATAGTTATGATAAATTTGTATTTTTAAATGTGTATAAGAGAAAAACATTTTAGAAATTGTACGATGGGTTTCCCGAAAGTTTTGTTGGGTTTGGTTGGTTCTCGGGACGGCCTCTCAATTTTCGGTATGTACAGTCCCCATTCGAAGTTGTTCCCACGTTAACCATTGTTAATCGAGTAAACAAGACAATTTTTGAAAAAAATAACCCCCCCCCCCGAAACTCGATCAACTCGAATGGCGACATAGTTTTGCGCGTATATAACCGTAAAAGTTTAAGCCCCTTTACTGGCTGTGGTATGCATTATCGTCGGGTAGGGAAAATAAATCGCGGGGAAAAGAAAACTGTCACGGTATAATGCGATGCGCAGGCAAGTTTTATACGTACGTTTTTCTGTACGTCCTATATTCGGCACCGGTTTCGGCCTGAATTCGGCGCTCTTCTAACAAATTGCTAACGGAGATATTTTCGTTTTAGACGTGGAACCGGCACGGAATCGCGGTACACAGATTAGCGGGCTATTGGACCTGGTGTACACTTAATAGATGCGTACACGTCTAACAATCGTCACTACGCTGACTATTGTAATACATTGTAACGGGTCGGTATAGTATGACACGCTTAATCGCGGGAATGTTAAAATATACAAACTTTGAGAAACGATGTCGCGCGATCCAGTCGCTGCAGCGGATCGCGGCGTGGAGTCCGGTATAATACTGTGTCGTCTCTCGGAGACCGGCGGCGTACTAATGGTTCGGCGAACTCGGAATGCACATTTTTCACGTTTTCCGGAACACGTATGGATAATATTATTAGAAGAAAAAAAAAATTCTAGATGTACAATATTATATATCCGTGATAACGACGTAAAATCGCCCGGGGCGGGGGAGGGGGAATATTATGCGATACAATAATAATCGGCGCACCAACGCGAGAAAATACTAACGGCGTTATACGAAAACAAAAAAAAAAACGCACCGGGAACGGACCGCGGCCGACGACAATAGGTAACTAAGTATTACTTTAGCGATCGGGAAAGAACGGCAACGACGGCGGTGCCATCGACCACAATATGCGCCTTCCTCGATGGACCCCACCATTATTTTTTTTTTTCTCTTCCGTTCTTCGTCGGAATAACACACGACACTCAATAATATTGTGTATACATAACTATAAATATAGTGTGGGCCACCGCACTACACCGTTTTTCCATATACACTACAAACATAATATGATTATTTTATTACGATGCGATGGTGACCCCCAGTCTGTATTATACTGTATACAGAATGACCGGCACACCGAAAGATAGCAGGTACTCGGAAAGTGTTAAATATTTGTTGGTATTTTTGGAACATTTAAGAAACAAGGGGCATTTATACAGTGTACCCCACATAATATTACCGTTATTTTTTGCCGCCCATATTTTCGGAGCCGAAATCACTGTGCACACTTTTCAAATAACGACCCATTATATAAATAAAAAATGTCGATAGATTGTTGAAGTTTAAGTTTAAGCAAATTTTGACGTTGACGTTTTCAATTTTCGTCAGTTGATGAGATATTCCACTCTAAAGTTTACCGTTTTGTGGGCTATATAAGAAGAGTAGTGTATTATTCAAACGAAACTTAATCTGTTCATGGAATTTTTAATACAGATTACTATTTGAAAATGAAAATTGGGTAGCGGTTTCACCTTTAAAAATAAGGACGACAAAAAATGGTACCTGTAAAATTTTAATGCCACTTGTTTATTAAATGTTCTATAAAACTAATTTCGAAAAAGTTAATACCTTCCGAGGTTACGAGTGTCTGATTACCCTGTATACAATCGCGCGCGCACACACACACACACACACACACACACACACACACACACACACACAAAGACACTCGCTGACGAAAAAAAGCGTCCGAACCGGTAATATTTTATGCCTATAATAATAATAATAATCTTTGCATTTCTTTATACTAAATATTACAGGCAGTCAAAACTCAAATTATTAAATATTAAACTCCGGGGCGGGCCGCGTGGCCCGAATACATAGATTATAACACTATTGATCGAAATCCATAAAAAAAAAAAAACTCGACTTTTTCTCTTGTTTTAACCAAAACTATACAATATAATACGATGAACCTTATTGTACCGATATTCTAACAATTTGTACGGACCCAAAAACAAACCGTGTCACCAAAAGTACGGGAAATGCCTGCCGCCTAATATGCGAAATCTTGGTAATTCGATCGTCTTGGAACTTACGATCGTTTATAAAAAAAATATATATTGCAACATCGGTTTACTCTTTTATATTTACATATAAAACAACTTTTATGCTGATGCATTTTTGATATCGGTATCAACAGGTAAACATCACTGATGTTGATGATCGGAGCGAGTATTTCAATCAAAAACTTGTTTACAGTTAGGAAAGAAAAAAACTGTAATCTTATTAAAACCAATATAATATCGTTTATCCAGTATAATATGAATTTTTAAAAAAAAAATTTTAATTGATCGTTCTGCGTTAAATTCGAGAATACACAAAGTACTCCGAAATAAAAGCTTAAATCATGTGTGTATTGTAAGTTAAATTAGATACTGTGATCCATTATAAACGCGGAAATAAAATTGTGTAATCTGTTATTTTCTCTATCGTTGTAAAATCTTTTTTTTCTTTTGTAAATATGTAATTGTCCACCTCGTTTAATTAATTAAAATTTAAAAAAAAAAAATTACATAGAAATTATTATAATTTATTATCAGGCTTGGGATTGGGTAATTACAGTCAACCGGTCTCCACATTAAACCGGTCTGAAGACTAAATAACCCCCCCCCCCCAAAAAAAAAAAAAAAAAAACAAAGTTACCTACTTGTTTAGTTGATTGATTATTTAGAATTGATACAAATATTTATTAGACCATAAATAAAAAATACCCTCTCGCCATACATTTTTAAAAGGTAGAAATAATAGGTCAATAGTACTATATTATAGACATCAAGTTTGTAATAAATGTGATTAGTAAAATTAGGTAATCAAAAATTAAACAACAATGATTTAGTTCAAAATTTATTTAAAAAAACGTAGTTATTACTACACTTTTTATATTATTTACTGATAAACATATAAATTAAAGAAGTAGTATTAATTATTTTTACTCAGAAATCAAAATGATACGTCTTCATAATTATTTCAACCAATCAAATTTTTTTTTTATTAAATCACTTTTACTTTTACTTGGTGATTAATTTTATAATTTTTTTGTTTTTACATTAGCTAAAATGTCTTTCTCTATATTCATCAATATATTTATTTATATAGAATATTTATTTGCGAAATAAAGGTTCTTTTTCTTTGGGTCATTATCTGCTGCTTTTAGTTGTAAGACTCGTTTGAGGCGAGCTTTTGCCGCTCCACCTTTAACAAGTGAATTATCTATTGGAGTTAATAAACTTCAAATTTACTATAAACGTCAAACGATTATTAGCATCAGACACCAGTAATTAATATTTAACAAAAAAAATCGAATTTAAATTTAAAAAGTTGAATTATGATAATGTTGATTTTTATTATCTCTTATTATCTATAATAGTATGTACGTTAATTATGAAATTATGTAATCAGTAGTCACTTATTATAGAAACTATAATAAATATAAGAACTATGTAATAATTATTATCAATAATAGTCAAATCTATTAAACGACCAAAGTAACACAGTGATCAATCTTTGACCAATCACTCAACCATTGAATTATTTGATCAATCATTCATCATAAACCATTTGGCGTTCATTCTCATAGAATATAAACATTTTTCCACTATTAAAACCATTAGTTAAAACTATAATAGCAACGGCCCAATTCAATAATAAAGTAGCGGCCCATCAAGTTTCGCTCGATCGCACGCCGACCCAATCCGGCCCTGAATTATTATTATTATTATATCCATAACATTTAAATAAATGATTCATTTCTGCGATTAAATAATACTCTACGTGCCGGTAGTGTTGTACCAATATATATATATTTTTTTTAGTATTTAGGTAGTTAACTCAACATATCTAATTCGAATGCGAATAATAAATAAATAATAAATGGAAGACCTTGAAAGTTCTAGTATGAAACAATGTGTAAGTATACAACGTAGATGCCTGCCTACTGGAGATAATTTATTTTAATTAATTTATTAATTCATATTTTAAAATATTTGACAATATTTTAATAAATTATTAGATATATATATATATATAATAGTCATTGGCGCACGTAGAAGGGAGGGGAGGTAGAGGTTAGAAGCTATATCCTCTTCACGTGCTTCAAAATATAACAACTATGAACGTGTTAGTAATTCTATCATGCAATTTTATATTTTAGCCAAATAACTAGGGAAAAAACTCGATTTATCGAATACAAATTGGCTTCTTTGAATTCGGCTTTTAAATTCTCACTGTCAGGTTTAGTATAACAGTAGAAGATTCTACAGTTTATTCATGGATCATGCTTATTAATAACTAAATCTTATCCCATTAAAAATTCCTGGGCACGTCACTGATAATATTGTAATATTTTACTTAATCATCAATAATATATACGCAGGTTTAATATTCGTAATGAATTCATTAGCAGATATTTAATAAAAAAAGAATCTTCTATGTAAGATGTAAGTACTTAAAACAATATCTATTGTAATAATAATGAAAAAATTCATCGCTTGATGGTATACGATGAATTCAATATAGGAAATAAACATTTAAAGTACCTATAAAGAAACGTGTTGTTAAATCTGTATGGATTTTTTTTTATTAGTCACCCATGAAGACGCATATAGGTACCTAGGTCTATCCACTCGTAGATATTCATAAAAATAATATTATAGTGAAGGTATATATTTTTTAAATGCCGTCATATTATTATGTTTTGGAATAATGAATAAAAATCACTGCCTCTATTAAGAAATATTACGTGAAGACATTACAAAATAAAAATTTCTCAGTCGTCATTCTTAAACAAATATTATCAAATTAAAAGATTCTTGTACATACCCATTGTTTGTATTTTCAATGTTCATTTAAAAATACAAAACGATCATTAAATAATGTTAAAAATACCATTTCAAGCTCGTCGCAAATATTATTAATTGTTATATTATACATATAAAGAGTTTATGAAAAACAAAGTAATTTATTTTCCAATTAATTGCTATTTTGTTATTCGATCATATTTTTTTCATTGTTGAAAAAAGATGTACTTGCAGACTTTAGTTTTGAAAATTATATTTCTAAAGGCTTATAATTCGAATATGGGGAATTTATCACCATTTCTATTATTAGTATTTTTTTATTTTCTTAACTTATATGTTTTTGTGGGTTTTTAGTTACAAAATCAAGATTGTAGTCCAATTCAGAGTCTTTTAAAAAGATTAATTTTTTCAAACAGAAATAAAATAATGAGATCGGATAAATTTATGAGGCACAAGAGTTTTTCCTGTAAAACACGTATATATTCAGGAAACAAAACCGGTGCATGACCTTAAAATATATAAAAATCAAAACCGACTGAACTACTTATTAAGGCTTTTGAATTGCAAATGTTAACATGTTAACAATGTTGTTAACAGTTTGTAAAAATCCACGAGCAGGAAGAATAATTATTCATTGTATTATAAATAAAACACGTCTCGTATACGTTTATAGGTAGGTATATAAACTTCAAAAGAAATCCAAATGAATATGTTTTTTTTTTTTTTATAACAGGTATGTCAGCAGTCTATTTTTTCCTTCTCAAACGGTTTAAAACGAATATAATAAAAATCAATTAATATATTCATAATATGTATTATAATATTCTACATGAAAATCGCAAGTTTTTACATAGTTTTAAATTATTATTGATATGTGTAAGATTGCTGCAATGTGCATTGGAGTTTTGAATTGCATTTCAATGTAATATATTCGTATGTATGCATTGTACATATATTTGGAAAAACGATACTTCTAATTGGAAAAAGTCTAAAAATCATTGGTTTTCCGTCGTAAATATTTCGTAAAATAAATTATTTTTAATACCTAAAAAGATCGACATTGGCTGATAACTACAATGAACATTGCAACCTTGCTAAATTATACGTTTCGGTTGGTGACGTATGAGCTTGACGATAAGATCATTTTATATTAGAGTTGTTAATAAAATAGACAGCATCACGCATACCTATAAAACTTTTTTGTTATTATTATACATCATAATATGGGTAACGAGATTTTTCTACGCACGTTCGTATTTTATTTATTTATTTATCTATCTGATATAATTTTGAAAACTACCATGCCATGGATAACTTTACTTATAGTTTATTATAATCTAATCAACATTTGACTTTTAAATATCCGGATTATTTACGATTTTTTATTACATTTTTCTAAACGTCTACGTATATGAGCTGTTATTTTTTAAGTGAACAAATAATGCTAGTGTTCCATTCGCTCGTGGTCTAAAAAAATGTTTAAAAAATAAATAACGTTAAAATGATGTAAGTGATTATATTTTATTAGTTATTAACATTATAATATTTTATAATCCTTTTGTATTTCTGATTTCACACATGGACACAGTGTGTATAGTTCAAAATATTTCTAAATTATAAATTCAGTTAATGAATGAAAAACACCGCAGTCAAAATAATATTAGTCCTTTATGAGTAGTATACATTGAAAAATACCATTACTACGATGATGGAGTATTCGATTTTATATACTATTAACAATTAAGTATTTCGAAAACTCTAAAATAAGACAAACTGCGTCTATAATATGATAACAATAATAATAATAATAATAAGGTCGATGTGTAAACCGAAGTAGGTAACGGTATCCATTAAGTTGACCGAATTACAAATATGTTTTATGCAACAACCTGATCGGCTTGTATTATATGTAGGTACCTACTATAGGTACAAGATACTGAGCATTGACATAATATTTTATTAAATAACAAGTCATAATTATATTATATTATTTAGAAATAGAATGAAAAAATAATTGTTCACTTTTAATACCTATAGATATATGTAGTAGGTTAATTAATTATTCGCTATAACCGAAATCTCTGCACATTTTTGCAGCCCTTTTTTTCTATCATTAAAATAACTGCACGTTTATCCATTTATATCTGCGTCAGTATAAAGTCAAATGTCGATTACCGTACTACTACACCATCATCCGAATCGCTGAACATATCTCCAAACAAGTAAACTAATAATTGATTACCCATGAATTGATTTAATTGAATTGGTAAAATTATAAAGAAATATTCGATTTTAGTTTTTCTATTATTATTTTGAGAATTGTATCTTTCTGTAAATTTCACTTACCTAACAGATAAGAAAAATGCTTAAATAATTATTAAATATGTTATTTAAAATTAAAAAAAAAAAAAAACGGAAACTTTACATTACTAAATAACTATTGATTTTTCCTTATCCGAAGATTTGCTCATCGATTTTGATTAGTGTTTAATACGACATATAGGTGATCGACTTTTGAAAAGAGGCTTAATTAATTTTTACTATTATTACAAATTTCATTCTAATATCGGTACAAAATTATTCAAAAATCGTGCAGAAATTTCGCAGGTCATGGAACATATACAAACCATTACCAATTATAATAGACATAATAGTATAGTTGTTTTGCCATCTGACTTAGCTGGTTGGTGTTTTTGTATAAGACTGCGAATAATGTGCAGCCGAGTTATAATATTGTGTGCGGCCGTCGGGGAACCATAAACAACAAATTGTTTTATTATTATTATTCTAAGACGGCCAGAGTTATAATAATATGTATAGTGGAAAGTGATAATAATAATAGTTATATAGTCCAAAAACATAATACTACATTTTATGGGTAAGACGTACATGGCGGATAGTTGTTTGCTAAAAAAAAAAAAAATCCGCAGATTATCATAATCCGTAATAATATTTTGTTCCTAAATGTTTTGTGACGGCATCAGCGACGGCGTGTCATCCACAACGATGACACCGTAAAATACTAAAAGAACATAATCGGTGTTTGCGGTAGAACTGTCACAGCTGATGTTATCGAATATAATATTATATAAAACGTAATCGGCGTAAACAAAAAAAAATGATAACAAATCCATCACACCTGCCGCTCAATCGTCTTTTTAACGTAGTGAGTAATAATAGGTCTCCCATCAGAAAAAGGAACAGTATCCGGCGCCATCGCCGCGGTGTCATCATGGATGAATTTATAGGAACGTATAATGTATTATACGGAATAATTTTTGGAAAACAAATCGTTTCACGTACGACGTAGTCGGTAAATTTAATATTATTGTTATTATTATTTTGGCGTACATTTGGGATTATTTCGTGACACCTCTCACTTTATTGGCCGTGTCATGTGGTGTGGTGTCTCGTGTCGCAACGGACCGACCCGAATACGCGAGTTCGTGCGCGCGCACGTGCACTTCGCTAGTCTTCGTAACATTATATTATAATAAATAGTATTATTCCAGTAATCGCGAGTCGATAAACTCGTTGGCCGAGAGATGAACTACCTTTTCATAATGATGCTGTAATAATAATTATTGTACCTATCGTTTATTGAAAGCAGCATAGAGCATTTTTCTAATACATATACTCGTTCTGTAGGTTATACTAATATAACTGCAACTAAGAGACCGGAATATTATATTATGACGACCTAAAAATGTAAAAGAAAAATAAATAAAACAAAAACTACTGTATTAGAAAACGGCACACGTTAAAAAAAATTGTGTTTTACAATAATGAATGATTAGGAAACGTAATTATATGTCTTTTTAACGATAAAATATCATTTGAAAAATGAAAAACAGCGAAGGATGCGAGAAAAAAGTTTCACTTTTAAAGCACCTATAAACAACATAAATATATAATGAAATTGATGTAATATAAATTGAAAAATTGACCGCCATAAACCGATATTTTGAACTATTAAATTTTCTAATAAACCAGTACAGAATAATGCAAACTCCTAATCAGTATACGAAAACTCTAGTTTTCACTGAATGGTCTGCAAATCGACGTAAAACCTTTTTTAGAGCCTAACCAATTATTTGGTGAAAACCTCCATACATTTACGTATATGTACACGATTACCGTACTATCACCTAGCGAAGATTTATCAGACGTATTAAGTACCTATCTATATATCCTATATTATTATTAATTTGTATTGTCGCGCAGCAACAACCCAATGGTTACATAAAACTTAATACACAATATTATATTAATTACAAAAATAAATATCGGATTGCGCAATATTTGTTTCGGAGACATTGAACGGTTTTCACTTTTAAAACGTTTAGCGGACAACTGCTGCTCAACTAGGTATGTGTTGTATAAGAACACTGCCGCGTAGGTAGACACACTATACACGTTAACGCTGTACACGAATATGGGAAGGGGGAAAGCTAATCATAAAAAAAACCGCAATACTTATTATATATTATAATATAAAACAAAAATACGTATCAGTCTAGTGACTGTGTTATAATATCGAAGATAACAAGTCGCGGAACACTTGCTATCTCCTCCTGCTGCGCAGTGATAAATTACAATATTCGGTAAGTAGCTTATGCAGAGACTGCAGAGCTGAACTATTAGTCGAATTTTTTACCACCTATCGCAGTAAAATATATCAACCAAATACGTGAACAATTTTATTTTTCACTAACCGGTAACATTGATATCGTTTGCATGACTTGTTTTATTCCTTCAATCATAGCAAACTTATTTAATATAATATTAATCCCCCTGTGAATATTAACAGCTATTAGTCATTTGATAAATAATTAGATACATAATGACGGATGGAGATTTAGTAGTCGCTCCAAATGAAATAGACAAAAACGAAATTTTTTACTACTGCCTAATCGTCAAAAACCTTAACGATGCGCAGGAACACGCATGGGTTTTTTTTTACATAAATAGTAATAATTATTATAATCGTTAGAAAAACGTGAAATAGAATGTCATCCGTAGTCATCATATCGTCCACTTGATTGCACAAATCGCATATATATTTTAGCTAACTAACGAACGAAAGTGGGAGATCTTCATAAAATACTCATCACTTCTGTATCAACCGTGCTCTCCGAATCTGAATAACATCAGTCGTAATATAAAACATGTATTTTAATTTGTTTAACCATTAAGAACAATATATTATTATGAACTTTGCATAATATCCGAAAAATATTTTATTCACTTAAATCAAAATAAACTCAAAAAGTGCCAAAATTTTTTTGAAAATATGCCGAAAATTGTTAATAAAAGTGTCCAATAATAACAATAATAGGTATCTACGTATGACAAAATCCGCGACCTAAATATGCTCTTGATAAAGTACAGAATCATTTCCTTGGCTTCGTTGGTCAGGTCTTAATGTTTCTCAACCACCTTAAGGGCCTGTTAGGTTAGGCACAACAACGGCGCAATACATTTTGTGCTAACTTCACTATGAAATTATTAGAAAGGCACTTTGACACTTCACGTCTTTTAAAACATCTCTGCATTTATGTGCCAGGTAATACTAGGTCACAGGGGTTTTTTTTATCCACTCTATGTGTAGAACAAATTTCGCGAATAATTTACCAATAGTAAAAATGACGTCCATATAGCCAATAACTTCTCCTAAGACCATATCAATTTGGTTTTGTAACAATTAATGTGTTTTTCAAACACTGTTATTTAATGTGTTAAATTTCATGTATGTACTCGTATATATAAATTGTACAAGAGCCAAATGGCGTAAATTCATGTAAACAAATGCTGAAATAATAAAACTTCTACTTTAAAACAAAACAAAAAAATAGTAAAATTTGAGCGTACAAATGGCATAGGGGATGGTGTTTGAAAGTTGAAACCTCTAAAAGGCACATTTTTGATACTAACTCCACGCTTCATTATAGAACCTTTAAAGATGTACGAAGCTAAATTAAACATCCCCCCACAAGTAAATGGTGAATTTATAACGAAATTCAATTCAATTTTGAGCATTTCAATCCGCCTATAATTCCCGATTTTAAGCTCATTAAGTCCATAGAGAGCCATTAAAAGTGTACAAAAGTATAAAAAGGAAAGATGTAAATTTATATAAAAATACATGATATGACGGACATAGTAGACTCATTTTCGAGAAAAATTCAACTAAAATACGGTATTGATAATTTTATTTACGATTTACACAAAGCTTTCGTAACTCCAAAATAAATCTTTCAATTTGTCAATTCTATGGATTACGAGATAATTTGAAAAACCCCCATTAAATTGTTAGAGTTTCCCGAAGTCGCATACGAGTAAGCACGGAAAGTCGGCAGTAAAAATAGCGGCGGCAAGAGGGCGGTCACAATGTATTAAGAGACCGCGAGAATTTAATTTGCCGTCTCGGTCTTTCTAACGTGCAAAGCAGTAAACGTATATCAGAATTTACGCACAGTGAAACAAACGAAAAAGATCTTTAAAATCGGTTGTAGAGATAAAACGCTTATTGTACAATAAAACGTGTAGATGACAATTCGAAGACGGCGTCGTCGTCGGTTTTTGATGTATTAATTATGGAAAAAAAGTTACGATTATTAAACAAATATAAAACACGGATTTTCGTACCTTTGATCACTTTACCTTTGTAAAACGATCAACGACGATGTATACGAAATGTCGTCGTCTATAACAAATTGTATATGAGCCGACAAGAGCCGTTTTATCTCTAAAACCGACTCTAAAGGAATATTTTTTATAAAATCGCGACCCGTCGGAAAGTCGGAGACGGTAAAATACGCGACTGTGACGACCTGTTAAAACGTAACAAAACGGGGACTGAAAGAAACTCAAAATCTATTTGCGGTACACTGCAATACTCTCGATATCGTCCGCATCCGATATTTCGTGGCAGTTCTTATTTTTTGTCGTATCGATTGTTATCGTGGCGCGAAAACGCCGAGGTATATACAATATATATGTACATATTATATTAGATATAGACGCGCGTGCGTAGAATATCGAGTAATAACAATATTATTTCGACGACGACGACGACGATAATAATAATATGTCAGCTATGTTTTAGTTTCCATGTGCAGCCGACGACGACCGATCGACGAGCCGGCGGCCGTGGCCGTTCAAAAAAAAAAAAAACGACATTCTTCGACGCGGCGTACTATGTTGCATAATATCTACGACGACGACGATGGTCACGGCGGTGGTGATGGCAATGCGCAGGGGTACCCAAAACGTGTATTTTATTGTGTAAAACTGACGGTTTTTGCCAAAATTCCCTCCGAAAATAGAGACTGACTTTTACACTGCACTGTATCTGGTTACGCATACAATAGTATTATATCTTTGGTCCCGGCAAAGGGGGCTTTAAACAATTTCGTTTGTGATTTTCAAATACGAACAAATTAAACGTTGAAAATACACGCACTTGTATGTAAACCGAAACACCGATTCGCTATTATACAGGCGCATCAATTTTAACAATTTATATGTTACGGACAAAAGCCGAAATCGGGCGAACCTCAGAAATGCTCGGACAAAACGCCAAGTGTCCACGATACTTGGGCAATACGTTATCTCGGCTTTAGCAAGAGCGAATACCTATAGAAGTGGCCAACCTTATTTGCGCAAAGCTTTCGTGTCCATACATTTCAATTTTTTACAGTATATGGGTGGGTAGGCACCGTGTTTTTTTTTTTTTTTTTTATTAATATATTATTATATATGTATTTTATTTTATTTTTTTTTTACATATAAAATAACAATAAATTAGGTATTATTATTCCAACATTATTAAATATGATTAAATTTAAGAATTAAAAAAGTTAATACGTTTAATAATAAAAAATATGGCAAAAAATAGCTAATATTATAATACTCGACGATGGTCTCAATAATAATCTGGAACCTACTTACCTGTCAAAAATGATTGAAATTTTTATGAACACTACAATTATGCCCAAAATGAGGTTAGTCACTAGTAGGTTTGCCTGGGGAAGAGCCGTAATATGGCTAAAATTTTGGTTGAATTTTGCGAAGATTGTATTTTTTTTTAGCTTTTATACCCATACTGATTCCCAAATGAATTCAGAGGGATGATATTTTGTGCATGCACGGTATATGTATCAATAAGGATGTACCTGTTAGGACTTTCAACTTTCAACCCCTTCTCAAACGATGTCCATGCTCTAATTTCATGGTTTAATATGAAATATTGGGTTTTAAATACCTCTGTAGACTAAAATGTAATCAAATTCTGGCACACATGGTTATTTTAAATCAATTATTATTAAACCAATTATTAATATCAGTTTTTAATATTGGTTAGTTTGAATTGTTTAAAAATCAATTAAATTTTATTATTATTGATTTCTGGATAACTAAATGTAACCCGGGCAAGGCCGTACAATGGCAGCTATAATAATAACAATAATAATATAACTCTCCCGCGTTTTCTCTGTCGGCGGTCTTTCGACCGTTCCCGTACAACATAGAACAACATAACGCTATAGAAAGGACAAAAAGGATTTCGACTCGTTGGTATTATCAGATGAATTGATACCCCAAGCTGATAACGTGATTGTAAAAGCGTCCCGTAGAGGTTTTTGTTGTCGGTAAAATAATGTGTAGGTAACATTCCTACGCGCATATATTATTATAAACGTAATACAACGGAGAATACGGACAGTCAGAATACCAGTCTCGGACACCCGGTATAAATATAATTAATAGTCTTACACCTAATTATCCTATATTAAATTTCAACCTAACGATTAAGATCACACGTTCGAAAATCGATTCTCGATAAAGAATATATGAATAGAATTTGAATGTTCGACTGACGACCGGCGGTCCTTTAGAATCATTCCAAGTACTTAAACGTTTTAAACATAAAAAAAAAAAAAAAAACATGCACAAATCGGGACGATGAAATTAAGTTTTTTTTTATCAGTAACAATAACTTATTGTTGTATTCAATTTTCGAATATTGGTCATGTTTGCAAAAACAATATGGCGAAATCCATCATAAAATTCAAACGAAATTTTACCACTTTAATAAAACAACTGTGATTCCCGATCATTGATGATTCATTCGGTCCAGATGAAACCGCTAAAACCGTCCAAAAGTAACGGGAGTAATATACACTATATTATATAGTAATACGAACGTGTAACGGAGAAAATACAAAAAATGGGGAAATATCCGCACACCATTCGTTAGGCGTACGAATGTAGTATACAACTAATAGGAACGGAATTAAAAAAAAAGTCTACGGCTGCGGAAAAGTACTGTGTAAACGCGCAAAAGCCGTGCGCGGACATTCTGTGCGGGTGAAAGTGTCCTACGTGAAGGTCTTCGGCGCGTGGCGTAGCGGATTTTGCGCTGCGGACATTACATTATTATTATTTTTTTTTTTTTTTCCCAAACGGTTTCTCTATCTCCGTCTCTCGCGGCACCACCGACGACGACAACGACGACAATAATAACAGTATACCTACCTATAGTCCTATACACGAAAACGTAGACATATAATATATATGTTATTTTACACGTCACACGTGCGTATTATATTTTCTTTCCCGACGGAAAACGTACGCCGCCGCCGGGGTCGCTCGGGAAAATCGGACAATACAAAAATAATAAAATATCCACTTGACCCACTTTCGGCCCGACAACGCGTACCGTTTTCCCGGGCGGTGGCGGTTCGAGAAATGGAAATCGCCGCCATTCGTTTGGACACACGTCACGTGATGGTTATGGCTACGGGTGGGTGGGGGGAATAATAACAAAACTCTTTCCCGCGAGCGTACGATTTTGACCATTCATCACGAGCCCGTATACAAATATAAATATGCAATATAGTTATTGTATTATAATATATACCGCACACCGGGGTAACCGTGGTATACAATCTCCGAAGGTGATGTCGAACCGGCGCAATCGAGATCGTCAAGTCACCGCAAAAATTCTAGCAGTTCCGTAACCGGGAAGAGGGTTACGCGGTTACAAGTCTCTCCCCCCTCAGAAATGTCTTCCATGCCACTAGATTCGAGTACGCAAACTATGCGAACCGACCTTCTCCCTTAGAGTGTAATTCATTGAGAAACATCGCCAAATTACTGATATATTCCCCGAATAATATTCATTCAAAAAGAAAATAGTCGGATTTTCAAAGGCACACAACACATAAGGGATCGACTTCATAGTTGGAATTGACTCATGATAACGTCTTGAAAATACTCGTGAACTTGTGTAATTTCAATTAATCGTTGAAACTTTAAAATAATATTCGGGAATTTTTCACCCTGGTTATATACCGGGTTTATAATTTGGCTCTGTTTTTCTTCCAGCTCCTAAACCGTTAATTTGCCTATGTGTTTTTCTCTAATATTTGTTCCCGATTCCCGCGTTTGTGCTGTTATAAAAGTTATTATAGAACTGAAGCGTATAATAACGTAACGATATTATATTATAATGTATAATATAGGCGTACGTAACGATTATCAACGTTGGTTAACTCTGCCGACGAACGTGTTTTAAAACAAGAACGTCCGTTTTCGGCGGACCGTGAAACGCAAGCGCGTGTTGGACTTATAAAAATGTTTTAAAAAAAAAAAAACAAGTTTTTGTGGGTATTTTTATAGAAATGCATAATATTGGTATTAGTGAACAGCGGACGCCCATTGGTGGCGTTTCTTCACCTCGTCGTTACATAAATCGATTTCATTATTACAGGTAATACGCCACTATTTCGAGCTTATGTTATTCGAATAGGTATATCCAGGAATTAAGTTATGCGTATACGAAATGCCGTCATCAAAAGCTGATTCTGTGTTTTTAAAGTTCAATTAGTGATATAAGAATGTAGTCGAACCTATATGCAATTTCGGAGTGTGATTAGATACAGAAATAGAGTTGGTTTTTAAATATACGAGCAAAATTATATCATTATCTATGTTATTAAATTTGTTTATATATCTATATGTTATTAATATAGAGATATGGGTTGTCCAATAATATACGATACTTACATTCGATCAACTTTTTTTTTAAACGTGAAATAATAGGTTTAAATAAGAAATCAAATTTCCATAATAAAATAATGAGGAGATCTCGCATTATGTAACGTTGGTTTTAGTTTTACAACTAAACAATCTATCAAATTTTAGAACGATCATAACATTTGTTTAATATTTTCGATATTGACAAATAAAAACCATCCGTTGTACAGTACGAGTTATTCTTTTTTTTTTTTTGATAACATTTTTATTTCTTAATTCGAAACGTCACGTCATAGTAACATATAACAAGATGTTCTGCTACTCAATGCAGAAAAATATTTATTTTTTTTTTTTTTTTTTAGGGGGGGGGGATTAGTATTTTAAACATAACAAATATACAAAAAATAATATTATTGAAAAATATAACGATAATATTTCATAATTTAATTAAACTCCCGCCATAAACCGAAATTTTGTTCTACGTTCCTGATATAATATACTTAAGACAACCTGAGCAAACTATAATATAATAATATTGGACACTCAATAAAGAAATTGTCGTAATTTCAAGTGCACGATGTATACTCGTGCCGCGATTGAAGCGTGAAATCCCCCGGCTCTTTTAGTCTTTGTCGGTCGATTATTTATTTTACAACTACAGCAGTAATGCAAATTGTTACATATTAAAAATATAACCGGCAGTCTTTGTTAATAACAGTTTGCTCACAATCGTGTTTCGCGCGAAAACGGATTCAAATTCCTCAACGTCTATCCACCATGCGACACAAGTAAATAGGTTTCAAGTAAATATGATTGAGTCAACAAATAATAATATTTTATGTGTTTATTGCTCGCGTTAACGTTGTTATATTTGTATTTTATATAGTCGGTCAGTTTATTGTATCACTATAATATAATACAATATTATTGTTGCATCCAAAAACTATAATAATATATTTATTTATTCACTCATAAAATATAACAGCAGCCTAATTTAATATTATTTAAACGGTGTAATAAATTTACATTTAACAATATTCTCAAAGACGATAATTTTCAATTTGACCGAATTTACGATAAAGAGCTTAGGCGAGTCAATTTTGGCTATATTCGATTTGTACATAGATTCTGATTGAAATTTTAAGCCATGCTTAATGCAGTGGCGTAGCTACACATTAAAGTGTTCAAAGGTTTAATATTTTTCATCTATACAATAAAAATCATAAATTATACTCATGATACCAAAAAAGTGCTGTAATCTATTTTTTGAAAAAGACAAACCCAATCACATCTTATCAAATTAAAAATGTCTGTTTTAATTAAGTAAATTATCACTTACACCATGCATACAAGATATCTTGATACTTTTTATTTATATCTAACTTATTTTGATGTAAAAATATGAAATAATTTATGTAATAATATTGTTTTGATCAGATTTATCAGTTTATCACAGCATCTGACACATGATACCGTCAATCAATTGACGTGAACAGATAGCTGTTTGGCCTGCGTTACGTGGAAATTTATATTTATTCAACTTTAATTATATAATTGGTCTACGAAATTCATAACAATCACCAGTGCCTTTATCATACGTGTAAGCCTCCAAGCAAATTATATGCCACGAGACGACTTCTTCAGATATCTCAGTGGTAACTACGCCACTGGATATCACTTTTATTTACAGATATGTGTTTGTTATCAAACTATTATGAAACACGTTTGGTTTATCATCAAAACTTACACGACTTATTGTCTTCTTTGATTTTTTTTTAATAATAAGGACTTGTTATGTCAATACGTTTTGTTAATACTTCATACTTCTATTTAAGATTTTCATATTAGTTTGTGTCTCGTACACGTCTTACTGTGAATTCTATACTCGAAACGACTACAGTTGCTCAATTTTTTAGTTATGTATTTAGACCACCATACTATGGTTATAGCAGAGAGTATATTGCGCGTCCATGATGCACAGATTCATTTTAACGTTTTATTTCAATTCGTTTTCCACTACAAGATGTGTTAAAGTATTGTAGTATACAATATTTAATAGTAATTATAATTTACAAGGTGAAAAACTACTTGTCGGCGTCTTATTGCGCAAAAACGGAATACTCGCGATCGTAATACATGTGCACAGACCTCGACGCGTACGACTATGTTATAATATGATAACAATATTGCAGACGGTCTATATGGTTGTTTGTATACAAATGTATTTATAATATTATTTTGTTTTTGTTTTTGTCGAATACGGCAATATGGACTTGTTATAAAACAAAGTCGGAAAAACAAAGCGAAAATAACAATATTTATACTGTATAGCCGTATTCTAAGAATCACTGGAGTTCTACTGACGCTGCTGCGGGCGGGCAGGTGGTGCGATTTTTACAGCAGCAACAGATGTAATAACAACATATTATATATTATTATAGATATGTAATGAAGAAAAAAAATGACGACACGAGAGAGGAAAAAGAGCTTTCGCCATAGATATGTGCGCGCTGCCGTTACCTCGAAACCGAATTATTATCGAATTACCTTCACGGTCACTAGTTAGTACACGTCCTGCGAGTACTTTCACTTTTGGCCGCCGCCGTCTCGGTGGAGTCGTCGACGACGACGGTCTCGACGTCTTCTGATTCGACTGTGGCTGGCTGGCCAAAAAAAAAAAATATGTATAAATACATATATACATAATGTATTATATTTTTAAAGATATACAATAACATGACGTCATCGCCACATCGGTGTACACAAGGAAGTCGTAACGAAACAACATAATATTTACTGTCGCTACACACACTGACGACGATTAGCCCGATAAAGTACATGCCCGAGTCCTTATAATATAACTCTACTCGTATGAATAAACCCGCGACCCGGTTACATTAGGTTAGGGGTTTAATAACGCAACGTAACAATAGTAACATATTGACCGTGGAACTCTTTTCGACGAGGGTACAACAATTCTACTCGTAATATTACCATCAAACAAAAACATCAAAAAAGCCCTGAAAAAACATTGGTTAAAAAATATTTTAAAAAGTAAAAACGGTAGAGGTTTAAAATTCTCCCCCTCTAACGGCTCTAACTCATCAAATATAATTGTCTAACACCAACAATAATGAATAAACAATAATGGACATGCTTTATACGAAATATTATACAAGTTTCCCCAGAGACCATTTTTTTTGGAAAAAAAAATGTTTAACATTGTATAACGAGACTACGCAGTATACTACAGGTCGTAGACGTTACGTTGTGACTTAAATTAAATAATATAATAACATATGTTATCTGTATCGTCACATCGTCGATCGACACCACAAACTATAAAAATCGTTAGTCCGTTTAAGTACCTACCTATACAATACATCGCAGATTTCACTAACCAATAATTTCGAATGTCACCGAACCGTGATACCGTATACCAAAAACGCGACTTATCTGCACTCGGCATCAGTAAAGTGGTGCAGACAAGTCGTGATAAAATCAAGCTCGATGATATTATTATGACTACGTGATGTCGGCCGAATAATCGGAGATTTATACGATGTCACTGCTACAATGAATAGTCGTGTCAGTTAGAGTTATGAACTGACACGTTAGCTATCATATTATCATGGTTAAAACTATCCCGACAGATTTGTAAATGAGATGCAGACTTTAGGAGTTTTGATTTTCTGAGTTTATTTATCTTTAATTACTCTTCCTTTTTTTTCAGTAGTCGTAAACCAAAAATGATAGGTACTACTGGGAAACGTAGTCAACGACCAAAGCTGATGAGACAAAATGTCCTTTAAAAAAAGAGTTCTTAGAAGAGGATGCAGACACATATATAACATATATACACAGTTCTGTATATGCAGACATATATATAACACGAAAACAATAGTCACACTATGAAATGATAACTACCGTGGATATGGAGAGGAATTAGGATTTTCATTGGTCTCTAAAGTGTAATGTACCCAAAAAATTGAAGTTATCGGGACATATTTGGCAAATCAAGGAAAGTTTAATTATATAAGTGCTAGTTAACAACCAAAATAAGACACGCCCCGAGGTAAATCGCGACAACGTTGGCTAAATCGAGTTAGAAAAAGTATCAAGGAAATTAATAACGAAACGAGTTTAAAACCGGATAACCTAGACCAACGGAAGGGTTTGGTTTAAGTAGCAAAAGGCTGCGTGCCCGATTGAAACTGGAGAAAAATAATACCGAAAATCACGATTAGAGTCGCTGCGGGGCTTTGTTAGTCGCATTGCATTGCTCTCGCAGACTTTTAATCGTGAGAACACGGGAGCAGAGTAAACGCGGTGTCCTGTATAAATATTATTTGTGTACACACGCTATGTAATAATATATACTATAATATTATTACCGAGATACTGAGCGTAATATTATTAGGAGAACCGCGAAAACCAAACATATTATAGTCGTAAGTATACTGAAAACGGAACGGCTCACAATCCGCCTCAAACTCGCGGATATACTCACCATTATTGTTATTATTATATTGTGTACGATTATTACAACGTGTTGTACACACGTACAACACACCTACTAACGTACGCCGTACGAGCACACACATGACCCGGGCCGCGCTTGTACACGCGTTTATTATTATTATTATTATTATTAATGTTGTCTATTTAGTGTTGAAACGCGCTACTCGCTATATGAGTTCGACACACCACCGTCGAAATTGTTAAATACCTACCACGGCCTATACCTGTACATCTACGATTGTCTACGAAATGCGTCGCGAACCGCGGATGTCTAACGCTCCGATAATATTGTAAATTATTAGAATTATTAACGTACACAGGTATTTATCACGGACCTGCACCGATTGTACGTATTGTCTATACGAATATTTCTAGTTTGGTTTTCCTCGTCTCCTTTCACACCATCTATAACCGGATGAAATTTATTGCTATTCCGTATTCACTTCCACGCGGGGTATGGAATTCAAAAAAATTGAAAAAAGTTGAAAATGTATCGTGTATATCATATAGATCCACACACGGTAGTGCAATTAGACCACTTGAGGAGCCAAAAGTCAAATATAAATCGGTACCTTATTCTTCCGAAAATGTAAACAGTCAAGATACCCCAATTCCCCATGACGCAGTTGATAATAAATAGTGATAAAACATTCTTAGTAAAACTACATTTTATCGTTTGTCCTTGCGGTTCCTGATATCAGATGCCCTGAAATCTCACTTTTCCAACATATTCGGTAGTCACGCCACTGTATTTCAGTAATAAAGGTGAACATTTTTAATAATGTCACATTAAATGATTTTCTATAGCATAATAATTGACAAATTCGAAAAAGCGAATTCTACTCTAAATGATTGTTAATGGTTCACGATAAAAGAGTCACTCTGTAGATATAGGTACTAGGTATACGTAAATCGGCACGGTCGACTTACTTATATTGCTAACGAACGCTCTCTTGTTGTTATTGTTTGAAAAACGACCGTCCGGCGTTACCTACTAATTTTTGGGGTCAATAGCCATCGTGCAGCAAGTTCGGTTTTTTATTTTATTATGATTTACACCATATATTTATCCAGACGAACATGTTTTGAAACAACAACAAATCTATACAATCCCGACATCGACGACAGACGTATAAGACATACGCGATTGAATTTGTCATATTTCATATACATTTTCTTTTTTTTTTCATAACGCTATACTGACAATAATATGTTATACATATAATGAAACTATCATTACTGTAGTATTCAGTGCCGAGCTGATATGCATTTTCCCGATATTTGTTACCAATATACTTTATATACATCCAATGACAATCGATCCTATATTTAAAATCGAAATTGATGATCGGTTATAATATACATAGGTTGACATTAAGAACGATTTTTTCATACTTCAAAGCCATTAGAAGTTTTTCCTCCAAAAATATCGGTTTTGGGAAAAGAAATTCCATATCCTATCAATTCGATGAAAAATCAAAGCATACTTATTGACAAATATTATTATATTCTTATGTCGCTAACGCTAAAAAAGAAAAGAAAACACTTTTCTTCTTCGGAAAACAAACAAATTTTAATTACATAGGTATTATAATACATACAAAAAAAAAAATAGTATAATTTATCTTATTTTGTTTTTATTTTTTTTAACGAAATATGTGCGAATGTACTCAATAAAAGTGTATCTACGTATATTTGTGTATATTATAATACAAACCATTTAACCATAGACATGTAGGTACGTGAGTCAGACAAAATTATTGTTTAAGCACGTCGAACTTAATGCTCTGCATTCGTAAACTAAATACAATTCGCCATGCACGGTTTCAATTTGAAAAAAAAAACAAATTTAAATATTATAAATAAGATAAAGAAAACGGAGAATACGAATGAATAGAATGATTTTTTTTAGCCATTTTCTAGAATAACTTTTTTACTTTTATTTCAAATACGTACAATATTATGGCTGCAGCATTATTTCAGTAATATTTAATAATAATAATAATAATAATAAAAGGAAGGATATACTACTAATAGCTGTACCATTGTTGTAAATAAGAAGCTGGAAAAGCAGGACATATGGAGGTCATTTAACCTATACACAATAACTAATCAGCTGCTATTAAAAAACGATTCTGAGTTAAGTTCGATTAAACTTTAAACGCTTATAAATAAAAATTCTTACATTATGCTCAACTTTTTTTTTTATTACTAGGTGCAACTTATGGGGAACCTTATTTTAAATTTCCGAGCATTTTTATTAATAATTTGTATTTACATGGTACGCAAAATGTCGGGATTTTTACGATTTCCATCGAAATATAAACTTTAAACTCTTATTAAAAAAAAATTATGTCTACGGATTTTCAACATTTTATGGTACCATAATAACAACTTATGAAAAAACTTAGATACAATTTTCAATCATTTTTGAGAAGCTAGAAAAATAAAATAGGCATAGAACCAATTTAAAAAAAGAAACTAATATACTTCGTACGATAGGTGAGCCACTTTTAGACACAATTAGACAAAATTGTCTACAATAATGGACAATTATTGTCGTTTTTTGATTGGAATATGTTTTCTGGTAGAAAAGTTGTTACATAGACAATAAATAATAAAATTACCACAACGGTTTTTAGAGATAGTTTATGTTTTAGCCTTTTTTTTTATAATATTTACTTTATTGTTATTAAGTTTTTTCTGACAATTATTCGTAAAAATAAATCTCATTAAAATCGTAATATTTCATACTTATAAATCACAATAATATTAATATCCTTAAAAAAACACGCAATCAAAGTACAGCTAACTCCGATACTAACGAAAAAAAAATGATAATAATATCTCTCAATAATTGTTTATGTATAAGTACAATACTGAAATTAATTAAACAATATACCGTAGACAACTGGTAAATAGTATACAATTTTACCATTATAATTCGGTCATTTAAAAATCAAAACGCTGATATAATTATATTCTTACATATTATTATTATGTTTATATTATAAACAATGTTAAAACCGCAGGAAAAGCGTATAGAATTTCATGTAAGCGAAAACAAGGAATTAAATACAAAATTACCCGTAAAAAATAATTGGCCCTGACCCTGTCGTAATATACGTTTTAATAATACGTGTAACATGTTTGTCTTCGGTTGTTTATTTAGGTGCCAGTTGAAACGTACCTACGTATATATATTATATTATATACCTACTTTGATAAACAAAAAATAAAAATAACAAACCGCAATAGATAGATAGGTGATTCAAGAACGTGATAGCTTTTAATAAGTAGACGAGACAAATTTGGTTCGGAGACACATTTTTTTTTATAATTTTATAAATTTAACTACTCAGTTGTTTTAAAAAACATTATTATATTTTATAGATAGATTATAAGGTATAGATACAGTTTCACAAAAATTATACATTATTTGATGTGTAATGGGTACCTACTCACGTATTATAGAGGCATGTCCAAAAATAAGAGAGGATTTAGTAAATATTAATCACGTATGAATCGTCGAAGTTTTTTTTTTACCCAGCTCGAAAATGGAAATTTAAAAGCTGGATTTAAAAAAATAATATTTAATCAATAAATCAAGTTTTTCTTTAAGAGTTGGCAATCAATGACTAATTAAATACTCATATTTGTTGTGTTAAAAAGCCAATGGGGTGGGGGCGCTATGACCCCCAATCCCTCACCCTGCGCACGCCAATGATGTATTATTATGTTTTACCATATTACTGTGAGTACTTAATGCAGTGAATTAAATTCATAAACTATTTACACACAGACATCACATTTAAAATTTTGCATTTTTTAATAAATATTATTATTAGTTCTACGGAATTAGAAAAAAAAATTATTTTCCTGTCTAAACGTAAAGCGGATTTAATAATTAATAATATTATAATACTACTGCTATATAATATGTGATGACTGTTAATCAAATTTCATGACGTTTAGCAAATTACCGTGCATAATGTTAATTATTATTATACTTTTAGGTATCTATATTATGTACACAAACAATAATAAATCATAAAACCATATGCTGCGTCTATTGTCATGAATAACCTCATCATCCAAGTATATTTTTCATTTTTCATTTCTGATGCCACGAAGGTTAGGTTAGGTATTTTTAATTTCTTTGATTCAAAACATTACAACTCGCTAAGATTTCTCGTCGCCAAATCAATATCATACCATCTATCATTATCTCGAACCACGTTTTTCTAATTTTCCACTCCTGGATTCCTTAAGTCCTCCTGTAGAATGTCAATCCAAATTTGTCTGGGTTCACCATAAGGTCACGCCCTTGGAGACTTCCTTACTAGCACTACTCTACCATTATCTTTATCATTATACAGCCTATATAACCATTGTGCAGTATTGCCTTTTAAAAAACTAATCACTAGCGTCAACATCAGCTCCTTGTATAGATTCTTAGCTCTTTATAGTCGATTATGTTTCATCATAAACAGGACTACAGATTATTCTTCATATTTTGTTCTCAGACATCTTTATAAATAATACATACTATTTACTGTTTATTCGGCAACATGTTAACATTATAATAACCAATATATTTTTGAAAACATTTCAATGTAGTAAATCAAGTAACTAGCAAAGTCTTGTGAACCAATTAAAAGGTACTTCTTATTTGTATATTATCGGGTACCTATTTTCGGAAGCTCGTTCAATTGCCCCATAACTTTATTCACCACATATTTATGCAGTTAACATTCGCGTTATTGAGTAAACAGATATTTAATTTATATAATTTATTTTTTGTACTGAGATTCACTTTTATAAAAAAATACCCATGATTCGTTTGATAATAATTTTAATATGTAAATTATTTAGATAAATTTAAAATGTTTAATAGTTACTCAGTAATAAGTAGTAATAATAAACTACTTTTTTCATAAGAGAATAAAATAAAGAATTTTTATTTAACAATTTATACATTTATTATTAATTTATTTTTTTACTAGCATCAATTAAAAATAATATTTATAACCTTCGAATTTCATTGTTTTAATAAGACATGTTTATATCATAGGAAAATCATCTAATGTAATAGTATGTTTATAATAAAACACGCCTGATGTTCGAAAATAACACATAAATTACGGTCTTGCAGTCACATTAGTGTAATTATTATAACATGCAATACACCATGGATATAAATTAGATTTTCAATTCCATACAAATAAATATGATTTAAATATTAATGTGCTACTATTATATATTGCTATTATTTGGTAATATACAAGTATATAATACGAAAATTCGAGATTCAAATTTAGTTAAATGCAAAAATTAAAAATTCTTATAGTCAGTAAATGATGAAAAAAAAAAGAGAGAGATTATACTACTAATGGTTGTGTCACTGTTGTAAGTGGTAAGATTAGAAGGTAGGGTACATACAGTTATTTAATTTATATCTGTACGCAACGAGAAATCATTGCTGAAGAAATACAATTCTGAGCGAAGTTCAGTTAAACATATTTTAAAATACATTTTTTAAATTTTTCTCATAATTTGAAATAAAATGCTTAAAAATATGACAATTTTCTACCAAAAATCTAGTTATACTCAAAAAATGGCGAGAGAGCTTAATTGTAGAGTTTTAGATTTAGTTGCTCCATTGTGGAGAGCCTTTTTTTATTTTCCGAATAATTTACATAAAAATTAAGAAAAACCGAAAAAAAGAACTTTTAGAAAAAATGGACAATTTTACGGTAGTAAAAATTTACCATAAAGATCGTCACAAGTTGTAATTAATGATAAAAAATATCAAACGTAATGTTATCATTTTTTTAATTTCTATAACCAATATTAGTTAAAATTAGAATGTTGTTAAAAATTATAAAAATTACGACAGTTCAGTGTATGGTCCAAAACGCTACAAAAAAAAAAAGCTTTCTCGAATTTGTTTACTGTAGTTTAAATTAATAATCAAACGGAATATCCGCATTATTTAATAAATCAATGTCATAGACAAATCGTAGCATTTTGACTAACCTGAGAAATTGTTAGTCGAGAAAAAACTCATCTTAATTAAAAATATAATAGCTTATTCCCTATACTTGTAAGATCTAATTATGACAAATCGAATAAAAAAATTATAACTAACGATGTACAGTAGAAACCGTTCATAATGACATTAAAATAATTAATAATAACCGATTGTCGTTATGACCAAAATGACAAAATAAAATTTTAAAAACTTGATTATGTATATGTTGATGTATGATTTATATGAATATTATATTGTATTACAATCAATGTATCATATTTTACTATTCATACGATCCAGAAAAAAAAAAAATTGTACACTGTATTAATTTAAAAAGAAAATAATAATAAAAAAAAAAAAACACTACAATAAAATGTCGAAAGTTGTAATGCAGGTATATATATTTAAAACCAATAAAAACTCGTTTAAGAATTTAGGGCAATCAGCAAAATGGTTAAGTAGTGATACACTGCTGCTGCAATGATATATGATTAGTTATTATTATTGCAGCGCGTATGTACACCCAGATATGTTTACCAAAAGTATTTTGTAATTAAATCGAAATATGCAAGGACACTATATTATATAAAATATACTTAAGTAATTTTTATTTATTTATTTACTTATTTTTTTTTTTTTTTTTTTTTTTTTTTTTTTTTTTTTTTTTAATCGTCTTTAAATACCTACCTACATGGTTATTATATGTAAATAATAATAGCTATATATATGTAAAAGTAAAAGATGAAACGGGTAAAAGAAATTGTAAAAAAGAATTTTCGTCTACTGACCTACATTAGGTATACCTATTTATAATATCATTGTTCTGTTTTGTATTTATTTTAGTTACGCGCACACATTTTTTGTGAATAGCGATTTCTCGGAAAATATTATTACCGTGACTTGTGTCGTTGATGCATGAGCACAAAAATGTATAAATTATAATGTATACTTAGGTATAGGTAAATAGGTAGTTTAGATTCCTTAAGAGGTCGTCGCGGTGGTCTTTTGTCACCTCTTATCTTTCTAACGGACAAAATAGCGAAAATAATGATGTGTTCACAAAAATCAAACGAAAAGGCTTTTAACATCGGTTTTAGGGATAAAACAACTATTATGTTGATATGCAATGTAAAAGACAGCATTTCAAAGACATTTCCTATTCGACGTTTTACAAATTTCTAAATATTCATTTCAAGATCGAAGTTTTAAAAAAAAATAGAATTGTTTTTATTACTGCGATAACTTTGTTTAATAATTAATATTTAAAAAAATGCCCTCTAAGTTGTCTTCGAAATGTTGTATACAAATTGTATTATGTGCGTTTTATTTCTAAAACAGATTTTAAAAGCTTTTTAATTTGTTTTTCACGAATGCATTTGTATTGCTTTATTGTCCACATTAATAAAAATACAGAATCTACGACAAATGTCACTGTGGCGAAATTTTAACGTAAAATTAATACGTCAGTACCTACATAACTGCCTAACCAAAAAATTTTATTAAAAAAAATATGTTAGGTGAATTTCGGATATAGATAACAACACGTAAATTGATTATTGGATGTACAGTAAATATTCTCCCGCAATAATATTGTTAAACCATGCGCCATGGTTATAAATGTCTACGGACTTTTAAGATCACAAAATTAACTCAAACTAAAATTTGCATACATAGGAACCTTTAACTACATTATTATAGTCTTAACAGTACTAATGCTGCAGAACATTTATATTACTTATCAAAACACTTTTTTAACCAGTTTCGGTAACATTTTTTAGATTATAAACAATGTTTTTCCGGTCTGATTAAAACATAGCAACCAACAGCTAGCCAGCTACTGTATTCGGTTACATTTACAAACGGTGACGTCAGTTTTGGACGACAATCTTCGAAGGTCAGCTCGTAACAATCTCCTCCAACCATAACATTATAATATTATATACCGCGCGATTACAACAACTGACGATTTTTATAATTTTTTTCTTCTTAAGTGAGTATTAATAGTATAACTTATGTACATTAAACATACTTTATTAAATATGAGTATCTATATAATATATCATGTCCACACACGTGTGCATAAGAAAGTATGCATTTTTGCATATATTTACGTATAAAATACTGAAAACATAATATTTCAAATGATTAAGGCCGTTTTTTGGGATATTACCGGTTTTTGTTTCTTTGTTTATCATTAGATATTTTGATCATAATATGCATTGATAAACACATTTTCGATAAAGTTCAATTACTTATAAGTCAAAAAAGAAAATATTACCAACACGAAATTCAATTAATAAACAATAGTCAATAGATACATCGGAAGACGCACAAAACCACTTTTTTCAACTAGAATAAAAACAGAAACAAAGTTGTCCGCAATTTTAGATTTAGAGCGTAGCGTGAAATGTATTTTTAAAAAACAAGTTATATTGCTTATACTTTCCAGTATTATGGTTTGTAATTTCCTGAACGGGAATTAAAAATAAGCTGGATATTGGGAGAGGACAGAGAGATGACCTGCAGTCATAAGGAAGTAAATAAGGTTTAGAAAAGAAAAGAAGTATGTATCTGTAAGACGACTTATAGAGAAGGAGGATAAAATGTATAAAATTACAAATCAACGGGTTTTTTTCTCTATTCTGATGGTGGAAGCATCGGAAGGAAGAACTAAGATGAAAAGAGGAAGAGACGCTGGAGAAGGTTGTGATCTACAAGACGAAGACGATAATAATATAGCTGACAATGTAGAATTTAGATTAAAAAAAAAAAAAGGACCAGAAGGAATAGCTGTCCACGTTAAAATAACAATGTTATAATAACACTCGTAGGTTCACGTAAATACAAAAAAAAAAAAAAACAAAAAAAATTTACCGGTGATTCATAAGTAAGAGTTGCGTGAAATTCGCGAAACACGATTTTGCAATATTGTAGTTCTCACGCATGTCTATTATTTTCTTCAAAGTAATCGATATGAATAGATCCAGGGACTTTTTTTCTTTTAAATTTCTTTCTATTTGAATATTTTACCGCGAAACACATAAAATCCTAATGATATTATGTTTTAATAATATGTATAGACGAGTGTAATCTGCTTAACTATGTTAAACGAAATGTGTTTAACGAAGATTTACTCTATTGTTTACATTTGTGCATATTGGTTTCGTTATCATTTTTAACCTTTCACTTATACGTTCACTTTTTTTTTTGTCGTGTTTATACTGCTAGCTTCTGTTATCTAATGACGTACCCATCCGACTTAATGAATATAATATTACAAACCATCTGATTTTATCGAAATTAATATTGTACCACTTTTTTTTTCTTACGAGTAATTCGTTTCATGAGTAGTAGCTTATGGTAGCTTTAACTGGGTTTTGATAAGATTCTTATGCAGAATTTAATTAAAATTATATATTGAATATCGTCTCTGTATTTTTAGTTGTATTTGTATAGGTTGGTTCGGTCGTGTAGGTAAGTATTGTCGTCAGAAAATAATATATTTTTACATATTTTACTTGTATAAGCAAAACAATTCCCATCACGAGAATAGACAGATAATCGCTAATATTAAAGACCTTATAATATAACACTTTTTATGAGATCTGACCTTCAGAAATTACAGTAGAATCGGTCGTAGTAATTATTACCAAAACGCGCAGACTTTATTTTTGTCATATCAAAACTACTGATAGTACATAATATAATTAGTTATTTTTTTTAAGCAATACATAATATTCAAATACTATTAAATCAAAATGAATTATAATTACAATCTTTAAGATATGGAACTAATGTGTATATATGTATATGATAAATTTAATTGTTTGCAAAATAATTTTAAAAATGATTAATTATTACCCATTGCTGCAGGTCAATACCTGATATGAATCTTAGGTTATTATAATAATTGTTGACTATTGTTCATTCAATATTTATAATTTTTAAAGGTTAGATAAATTAAACATATTGTATCTATATAATAAAATTAAAATAGATCTTAAATAGATTATAGTTAGTAAAATTAAAATATTTTGGAGAAAAAAAAATGTAAGATTCTTCTAGTTATTATAAAAGAAAATCCCATTTGAGCATTAGGTTAGATATATAGAATTCGACTATTGTTATAGAAAATAATATCATATTATATTATTGTATGATGCGAACGGACCTTGACACCGATTATTAGTCAATCAGCTTCCGGTGATGATAGGTATTTTGTCCAATGAAAAGTTTAATTTATAACGTTTTGTTCTCCTGTATTATTATATGATTCAATATTTGTATTAAATTTAAGTTAAGTAAACAGTAGAAAAAAAAAACCTATTGGCTCTTCATGCATTTAAGCCTTCAAAAATCTCAAAATATTCCCAAAAATGATATTTAATCGATTAGATGTTCTCAAAAATATGGATAAAACAACAACTACTAATATTACTATTCATTATTTTATTTATTTTTGGTTAGCTTGTCATATTCCTCATATCTTAGGCTATAGTCAACTAAAACATTTTTAACGGAATAAAAAATAGAGAAAGTCGTGAGGATGATAGAAATTTGGATAAAGTTATATACATAGTTTATAGATAGAATTTTTATAGGTAAAGATTGTTATTTTACAGTGATGAGTTTACGCAAAACAGATAAAGCCAAATCTTTAATCAATTTGAGAGATAAAATACTGATTGTAAAAAATATAAAGAACAATATTTCGAATAAAATCCACTTATGCAATATCAATATTTGAAAAGAAAAAAAAAAGGAATTTCTCCATTCCTTATATCGATCTGTATGCTGAGAGATACGTATACGATAAGTAAGGTTACCTCGTAAACAAATATATCTCTTTTTCTATCCATTTTATTAAAATAAGTGTTTTTTTGAACGATATCTACTTTAGTATGCTTTATATGAACTTTTTTGTAAACACATAATGTTTGAAAATCAGTTTGAATATTTTTGAGTTATTAAAAAATGATAGTTTAATTAAAAAATCTTGTTGAAATCACTTATAAGCAACTCTACAATTATTAACTGGATGCTTCACAATTTTATAAAAGTATTGATTCAAACAAATAATAATTATTTTAATTTAATTATTAAATTTAATTGTTTATTAAAATAATTATTTACGTGGTAAACTATTATTATTATAATTACGAGTATACAGAGTTTATAAAAAAATATATAATAATATGGAAAAAACATGCTCCGAGCCGTAAAATTATTAAAGTAGGCAAATCTGTGTGACGTAATGTATAGTTAGTTGTATCTACGAAACGGAAGAAGGGGTATGATAAAACAAAATTTTATTTTATCTGGTAATTCTGACAGACAAATTAACCCGCTCACATAGGGTTGAGATCAGTTATTCTTCCCTACTCCCGAGAAAAAATAAAATCATAAAACATAAATTCTAAATAAGTAAAATATTAAAATGTATTGTTTTGTCTAAGACTTTCGACCAAGTCCATTCATGAGCTCACTTAGAAACTTCGTCTAAAATAACCCTCGATATTTTATTATTGGAAAACTATTTCGGGGGAAGTCAAAGGAAGAACATCCCCAAAAAAATGTTTTTACTACTGTCTTAGATTTTCACTTTCTTTTATCACTAAGAGGATAATCACTCGAGATTGGTCAAAATGGGAAAAACGGTACATTTATATTTGTATAACAAATACAATTGGGTAGTTCCTCGTACGCTTTTACGCGGGTACATGTATAACGAAATAATACACGCGACGCATTGTTATTAGTAAGTCAATAAGCGATGATGACGTCGGCGCGTGTGTACACGATGGAAAGCAATATAAAAAAAAAAAAAAACAATCAGTGGTGGCATTTATAAAATAATCAGGTCTCACGGCCGACACCCCGAAACCAGCTTTCCCAAGGGCCGCCGCGACTACGACTCGTATCGTGGTATAAGCGGTTATGTTCGGTATAATATTATGTTTAAGCGAGATGGTGGGAGCGCTCGTCGTCCGTGGCGTAACAAACCGGTACCTATAAGTAGGTACCCGTCGCCGCCGCCGCCGCCGCCACCGCCACCGCCGCCACTGGCGTCTCGCCCGGCGACCGCCGATTTCTTCTTCTGTTGCATAATCTCGCGCTCGCGCACGTAAAACCGCGTACGCAGTGGCATTACGCGTGGACTAAAAAAATTTCACACGAAAAAACACGCAGAAAAAAATGAACGTTTGATTGTACGTAAGTGTGTACGAAAATTAAACACGGTAATAGTTACAAACATTAAAAAACTAATAATGTTGTTAAACGCCTGTATACCGTTAGCTATACGCGAAAACAATGCCTACGGTATATTTTTTCAGTTTATTGTTGTTATTAGTATTTATTTGTGTCCCGGTAGTTTCCCAGGCCTTTAAAACGAAACGCGCTATTAGGCGTCTATTCGGAAAATATAAAAATATCGTCTTTATCCAATTATATTTTAAACCTTTCACCCGGGGACTCGGACAAATCTATCAGCAACATTTGAACGCACATCTATGTATAATAGACTTGAACTTTCGCAGCACCGGCTGCAAGACGCATAAAAGCATAAATGATAACAACAGACGGACCAGGCCAGGTGTCCGTTTCGGGACTAACCTAACCTAACCGAACCTGACCGCGGGAAACCAATACGCGGCCGTTAGAACCTAACCGAAAATCGACGTATGTTCAAGCAAGTACTCACGAGATGCTCGCGCTCCAGCTGAACATCCTCCGTATCTTATCCTTGTCGTCCATGATAGTTGTCAGTGTTGCGAACCGGGTCGAATACTGCGACTACTACACTTCGGCGAGTTACGTATTAATAAAACACGGCACAGACCGCGATTTTTATTCCGAAAAAATTCCAAAAAAAAGAACGAATAACCGATTGACAAAAAAAAAAAAAAAAATACGTCTTTCAAATTCTAGTGCAGTGTAATAATAGTAACAATATTATTATTGTTATTATATTTGTAGTGTTTCGACACTGCAGAAGCGAACGCGCACGTATGCACTACTGGCGTTCACACATACAAACACACACACACACACGTACAAACTCACACACTTACGAGTCACCGACGCGACGGTAGTGAAACGATTGTGCAGAGACTTTACAAGACGTCGACGCCGCCGCGGGTTGGTGGTCGGTCGGTCGGTCGGTTCCGGAAGAATAATAATATAGGCGCGCGCGTAAGCATGAGCGTAATAATACTCGTATTATTATTATTATTATGATTATTACTATACACGAATATAATAAATGTATTAGAATGAAACGCGTCGTCGTATTTTATTGTACCCGTACACGAATAACAATATTACGGCGAACGGCGAGGTTTCACTCTTCGGTCACACCGTTTCCTTCTCGCGTATAATACCGCGGTCGTGGTAGTGGTTAGTGTTATAGGTGCCTACCTATCCTACCTATCCTACCTACCTACCTACCTACCTACCTACCTACCTACCTACCTACCTACCTACCTACCTACCGCGTCGCGCGTTTAAAGTACTACTATAGTCGAGTGTTTACGCGCCCGACACACGCGCACGGCAAGTGGCGCGCCCGGGAAGGCCGACCGGGTAACGTAGTATTACTCTAGGTACCGGTTCACGTGCTAAAACGACGACGACGACGACGACGATGGAGCAATGACGGGCTGACTGTGCGTCGCGTCCAAAAATACCTATTCGACGTAAATCGCGTACCGGGTTTTATTCGAACGTAACATCGATAATTGCGTTCATCAAATGTAAAGCCCGTTTCACACGATACTAGCGATTGTACAATCTCTAGTGCGATATCTAGTATACTAGTTTTTAGGTCCGTATAAACAGTGTGATAGTACACTGCTTAAAGAAATCATCCTTCTTATCTTTGCTCCTAGTTTCTAGTAATTTTTATGGTGTATCATACATTATGGTGTGAATATAATATAGTACAGGTTCTAGTACACTGGACTGCACACAATATTTAGTACTAGCTAGTATGCTAGGGATAGCACAATAACTAGTATCGCGTGAAACGGGCTTAAGACAAATATTGAAGTTTTCGAAAACAAAAAACTGATATCTTTCTTTACATTTTTTCATAGTTGATTCCATTTCCGTTAATGCGTCAGGTAATTTGGATAACACTGTAGCTCGGCCATTATGCATATTTCTTTTTATTAATAAAACATCTCTGGAAGTTAAACTTTCGATATCATCGTTTTTCAGTTCGGGATACAACATTTTAAATGGTCTACATATGATTGCCAACTGTTTTTCGTTTTAAATTATTACTAAGTTTATATCGAATGAAAACTATTTCAGATCATTTTCTATGATTATGTTCATTAAAACTTTTCACCAAACAATTATTGTTACATTTTGCGAAACACATACGTGATTAGGCGCGGTATCTTTAAAAGCGCGGGGCTTTGTGTGAGTACAAAGCTCGCACCACCTTCAAGCAGGTATGGTAATTGGTAATAATGACCAAATCAAAACTGGCCATAGAATCCAAGTAACCCTATCTATATACCAAAATGACCAAAGAATATTATATGATCGAATACAAAAATTAAAAATTGTTTCCATGAACATCTTCCATTATTACCTACGGTTATTATTATCATAATTATCATAAATTATTTTAAAAACACAATAGGCAATTATTAAATTATTTCAAATTTTTAAATAGTTAGGTAGTTAAATAGTAGACTATAATAAATATTTTAACAATAAAATAATAAATAAAATTAAAAATACAACAGGCTATAAATAAATACAAATTCGAATAATAAAAAAAAATAGTTTTTACAAAACCTTATCATTCCTATATCCTACATTCCCAACATCCCACATTCGAAAATAGCTTAGTTATTTATTTTGTTAAAATTTAATTTATTTATGTTAATAAAAATATGTGTAATGTTTTTTGCATTCATTTTTCAACAAAATATCCATATTTATTACATCAATATCATTATCACATTGCGGCCTATGCTAGGAAGTGGGATACCCACACTAGTTTTATACATAGTAAGTCTATAAAAGGCGAATTGAAATACAGTATAGTTGTATAGTACAGTGCAATGTAGTTAAATGAACTAAATCCTTAAATTATTATTACATCAAAAAAAAAAAAAGCTTTAATCCTGAAATGGACATAGATCAACGTTTAAACGTTTTAAAAGATTAACATTAACACTAAAAATACATATTTCATCGAAAAGCTTATTATTTGATAGTGCGTTAAGGTTAACTAAGATAAAGGTTAAATTAATAACATGATATTATATTTTAGATTCTGCAGCGTAATGAATTTATTTTACTAGGATGTGTTGAAAAGTACTTTTGGCTATATAAAGTAAAACTGCTTTAAAAACTGTCCATACCGTACTCAATGCAGATAATTATACCAACTTAATTCAAAACGTTTTTCTAGATTTTTTTTTTTTTAATTATGGCTCCCATAATAGATCAACCTTGAGCTACTTAACCAATGTGGATCTGATCATATTATATCGGTGTATGAATTCCAATGTTATAACGGCTCATATACAATAGTTGAGATTATATCTCCCTATAATATAGATTTTACACTCAAAACCAACAAGTGGAATCACGACCGATATTATTCAAAACTAATCACAACTGCTATAGCAGATGACTTTCCCGGCAGAGAAACCAAAAGGGTGGCAGGAAGATTACTCAAAATATATTTTTTTTTACTTAAAAAACCGAAAATACTCTAGTTTCAAGAAATTTTCTTTAAAGTGATGCGGAATCTCCTTTTGTAAGGCTGTAACGTTCTTCTCCCATGTAGTCTAGTTGTCCTAAATCTAATTTGATCCTCACTTTACTAGATCTTATCAGGAAATAAACAATCTATACATTCACGCTTGATGGTATAAAAAGAAATATTCATAAATTTCTAGTTGTATATTATACAATAATAATATTAACCATATAAGTATAATACAGATATTAAAACCGTCAGATTGCAATGATAAAAAAAATAACTGCGTATATTCGTGATTTTAACCTTAATTACCGCATATCTATACAATTCTTTGAAACGCATGTGCTCACAATAATATCATCTATAAGGGCATACTATATATTATACTAATATAGTTACAATGATTAAGCTAAATTGATATTAAATCATCGTTACAACAGCAACAGCTCCCGTTTATATAGAAAATAAAAAAAAGAGCTAATACTGGGGACTGATATGCTGAAGTTGTAGGTGGAAAGGTAGGATACATAAAGTTATTTAATTTATACCTGTAGCCAAAGATACTCATTGTTAACGAAAAACGATTCGATGCGAAGTACAATAAGTTATACATGTTTAAAAAAGGCCGTGAGATTTACGATCCCGGTTAAAATTTGATTTTAAAACTCTTAAAAAAAAAAAAAAATTACTACAATACGCTCAATTTTTGTTTTTCAACTACTAAGAATAACTTACAATGAATCTTCTGTCATATTTTCAAGCATTTCTGTTTAGTAAAGTTAATTTTATTATATTAATATTTAAATATAATTAATATAATTAATATTAAGTAAACATAATAAAAATTAAATCTTAACCCTATTTTGAATTATGAAGAATTGAAAAATTACCTCCCTACACCGATTTTTTTCTATTGTATCTAATAAATAATACATATTTACATACTTATTATACCATTGTATCTATTTTAGTTTTTGTGTAACATTTATGTACCTATAAATATCATAAAGTTTTTTATCGTAAAATTTTAAAATTATATTTCATGACATATCTCAAAGTTAATTTTTAACCCACTTCAACTTCGAGTTATCGCGACTCGACTGTATAATAATCTTAAATACGAAAAACGGATCAAACGTGGATTTGATATATATGAAATTAATACTTTCCGAGATAATGAATATCTTACATCATGTTGATCACCCTAAGCACTCAATTTTTAATCGTCTAGTTTTAGAACGGATTATTTTTTTGAAACTTAAGATAAAAGTTTTAATGTGTCAATAATTATTATCGGATATTATATATATTTACTGTGTATTTGATTGGTACATTTTGTGTATACTTTTCTATAAACGTTGAATTAAATGAAAAAAAAACGTCTTTATACAAAAATGTAGAAATATATATCAGATAATAGATTTCCGTCAATTTTCAAACCATCAAATACTATACATAATATTAAATTGGCTCTAAAGTTTTAAAGCCTAAAATCTCGAGGGACCATCAAATAATAATATTTTTTTCAAGGATACTTTCAAACAGTTGTTGTATGTATTAATTATTCAAAATACAAGTATTTTACTTGGTGCGATGAACAAATCGTTCACTCTGTTACATAATCCGAACGATGACAAACCAATGTATAAAATACAAATTATTTCAGACAAGCAATATAATATAGTATATTATAATTTATAACAGTAATTCTAAGTTCTTATTAATATTTTAAAATAATTTTATTTACCTTACTACAAGCCATACGAAAAGTCCGCGTACAAATAATTTGATTATTATGTAAAATAAAAGAATAACGAAATAGTAAGTAATATAATTATACAATTTTAAGTATAACGTTTGTGATTTCATTACTTTTTGTAAAAAAAAAAAAAAAAGAATAAAAAACTAAAATAAGAACATTTTACTATAGGATTGGCGTTTTAAAACATATTTTAACACACTGAAGACTAAAAATATGATAATTATTGTTTGTGAACACATGTGAAAACTAGTCGACTCTTATCTTAAATTACTAATATGACAACGTTCTAAGTTACGTTTTAACAGTACAATATAATTGTTAACTGCTATGATTAACTATGCATAAAAATTGTTTTTTTTTTTTTTTATTTAGATAAATGTATCTAAATAAAAATTAAATGTAATTCAGTATAACGTGTTGTAATATCTGTGATTTAACGAAACATGCTATAATAAATTACCAATAAATACATATTTAAGTAGCTAACGAGAATTCGACTCAAGTCTTCGACCCTTCCGATTTAGCGGCCAATAATGCGGTGCTCGTACGTCAACTGCCATGGATTGTTCTTGTTTTCTACTTAATAATAATCAGTATTGTTCTAACGCATCCGTCTTCAGTACGATAATATAGTATGCGAACCCGCGTGTCATACTGAACATACATGTATACTCGTAAGGGCTATTAAAATCGAGAAAGTCTAATACATTCAGCTCGCAGCGGTTTATGTTTTGGTGATTGTATATAATAAATATATATATATATACATACTACATAGCTACACAGATATATACAGCTCTCAGATAACTTCCGTAATGTATCCAATTTTACAAAACCAATAAAATAATAATTTTTGTTTGTTATTTACTTAATTATAATTACGAGCAAAATAATTATCTAGTGTAATAGCAGTGCGAGATGACCACAAAATAAAATTAATTACTCATCGTGCAGTATTATTTCTAGATAAAATAATATGTGTGTTACATAACATACTTTCAAGTATTCTTTAGAGTTTTTAATATCGACAAACGAAAATAAAATAGACCTCACTCATAGTAGCATTTTTTATTTTTTTTTTTTTTTTTACAGTTAATAAATGTTAAATATTGTACTATTAGTTACTAATATAACCTTACTTTCGTTATTCTTGAAATATATACGGCGATTTAAGGTTACACAGTAATTACGAATTAAAGGTTATATTTTTATGTTAGTATTTATAATAATATTTATTTTAATACATTTCGTTTGTTGTTGTTTTTTTTTTTTTAATTTTAAACATCTTTGTCCTATTGTACGTGTTTTTTTTTTTTTTTTAAGTCACTATTATCTCATTTGCACGTTGTTACTCGAGAGTCTACAGAGTCTACGGTCAATGTTAAATANATTCTTTAGAGTTTTTAATATCGACAAACGAAAATAAAATAGACCTCACTCATAGCAGCATTTTTTTTTTTTTTTTTTTTTAAGTCACTATTATCTCATTTGCACGTTGTTACTCGAGAGTCTACAGAGTCTACGGTCAATGTTAAATAATCTCATTTAATATAATGTTGTTCTAAAAGACAAAAATATTGAATGATGACTGATAGTTTTATTTTGTAATGAAAATAATATATTTTGATGAAGTGTAATTATTCGTAAAAAAAAAAAAACAGAAGAACCTCGTACACAAGATAAAGGTAATCATTTTGCTGGTTTATTATTACCTATATACAAAAAGTAGCATATAAGTTAGGATGATCATACATCCTGTTTTAAACAGGATTGTCCTGTTCTTCAACTTGAAATAAAATAGGACGCATTTATTATTCCTGGTTTCTGTGACTGTCTTATTTTAATCCTGTTTATTACTATTTTTCATCAAAAAGTAATTTTAGTGATATACATTATAACATTGAAACATTATACATTTTGTTGTTATAATATATATAATTATAATAATATGTTGTTTATTGACAATAAATACATTTTAAATTCTGAGTGGAGCTAAGAAGGTTATGGTTTTACAAAGATGTTTTTTTTTTTCTGTAGACAACTTGTCTACCAAAGATTTTCTACCAAGCTCCGATTTTTATGTGTAGCACTTTTCAGTTAGCAATGGTTTATCGTTGCTTACAGGTATACATTAAATTACCAATAGCAATGGCTGTACCCATCCCCATTATCCTAGGACGTCTTTTTCTTTTACTCATTGCAAAAAATATGTCGTATTTTTTTTTTAAAAACATGATCGCTCTTTTATTGATATTTTTAATAAAAACAAAAAATTGTCCTAGAATAATGGGAAAAAGTGCAGTCACTGATATAAGTAATTTAATGTATATCCGTAAGCAAAGATTAACCATTGCGAACCATTAACCATAATAAAAAAACGATTCTGAGCAGAGTTCGGTTAATAGTGTTGGTTGTCAACAATATATATTATATCATATTATGATAAAATAATTATATAGGCACTAAATATTTTCTTTAATAATATTTATTTAATATCGTATCTATTTTCCAAAGTTTTTCCTATTTTTGAGAAAATCAAAACATGACCTCCCTAAAGAATATCCCGTCAGATTTCCTTTTAGAAAAAGTGCTATCATTGTAAATCATAGCAAAATTACTGGTATAAAAGTTGTCCGCAGAAAAAAAATATAAACATCATTGAAAAACCAATACATTCCATTGTAATATATGATATTCTTTTAAAAGTATACCGACTTTTGAGCTGTATACTATATTTGTATACGGATCAAATACATTTTGTCCACACTCATCGAACCTATAGTATGAACAACTATGGTGACTTCTTCTTCAGATCTTAAATTTATCGATTGATTGGTTGCAGCTGGATAGATACTTTAATGTCAAAACTCAAATTCAAAACAATACTTGTTAACTTTCATTCATATGTACTTAGACATTTTTGGGTATATATTCCATTCTTGGCCTTCCATTTCTAATTCTATAACTTTCAAAAAACTACCATGTCTTTTTTAAACGTAATACAATTTTCAAAACATTTGTGCCGTTTTTCAATTATGTACAGGTATTTTAATTATGCTAGTGTTTTATTATACACAATATATTATTTCGTATTCGGTAGATAATCTGTGGATAAAATTGTTAGACGAAACAAAAATAGACCAATCAGTGCGTTGGAATTAGAACACTTCTAAATTCCTATATTGCACGTGTGTAAGATAAAGACAGAAAATCATCACTTCCAATTCCCTACACTATGGTGTATGTGATTTTTCGTTTTTTTTATTTTCTAAGCAATTTTCATAATAGTTGGGAAAAAGTAGAAAGAATATTTATTATAACGATTTCATTATTTTCAATTTTGTTTTTTTGTTGTAATTCAGTTAAATATATTCCTATAGGTTTGCAATTTTAATGGAAAGCTCATATTGGCTATTCTTGACATTAAATTAATAATCTAAAAGTATGTTTGAACTATTTATAAGCATTTTACATTTTCTAGTTTTATTCCACAGTTTTTCTTTAGTAGATACTATGTGGATAAAACAGTTTTACTAAATATAAATGCTTAAACGTTTTACACGAGGACAATGGTCATTATAAGTTGCACTTAGTAGTAAAAAAAAAAGTTGAACGTAATGCAGTAGTTCTTTTAATAATCATTTCAAGATCAAATTTTGATGAAAATCAAAAATATTACGGCATTTCAAAACATGTATAACTGAAATTTTCTCAGAAACGTGTTTCATCAGCAATGATAAAACTTTGCGTACAGATATAAATTAAATAATTTTGTGTGACCGTATTTCCAAATTACAAAATCAATTATTGGCACACCCATCAACGGTATCAGTTCTTATTTTTAAAATAAAAGTATGTCAATTTTATATTTTTGGGCCTTCAAAAATGCTTAAAACATCAAAATATCTTGAACATATAAAGGAATACTCCAATTAAAATGTTTGTAGCTTATTTCTAATCTCGATATATGCTCACTGTACATGTTTCACATCAAAAAAATATGAGATTCGTTACGTATATCTTTGAAATGTTTTTCCTATTGTTGAATTTAATGTTGTTCATCGTAAATAAATGTTATTAATTTTTAAAATTATTTTATTTTTTGAGCAATCCTGTATATTATGGCCAACTTATTTCTAATTGATTCTTGCTCTAATAGTTTACTACAGAGATGACTTTAATGCAATAACTTCTAAGAACAATATAGGTACCTACCTACAAACATTGATTTTGGACTAAATATTACTTCGTTTGAATAAGCCTTGATTATCGCAGCTGCTTAACTTTTTCACCTAATTTATACAAATATATTTTATCATATAAAATAATATTAACTAACCACTAACTGTACCCGTGTGATTTTCAAAAAGTTAAAAAAAAAACAATAACAAATAGGTTAATTGCACATTTACTCTTCTCTCGTGTTATAATAACTAAACCACACTGATTAGCGACAGTCATATTATATGTATTATACACAATACACTCGGTAAATAATACGCACGTGAAATACGTTTTTGTTATTTTAAATTTCAGTCCGAAATAATAATTTCTTGAGAAAGCCCATTTCTCTACACAACTCTCGAAAGTCAATATAC